AATTTTTTTTTTTTTTTTTTTTTTTTTTTTTTCTTTCAAGAACAATATTTTTATAATTAAAATTTTTATTAGGAACATTTTAACAAATCTTTTTATATTGCTTCTTAACGTATTTAATAAGTATCTCTTTTTTTTTTAAGAATATTTTTTCATTACAAATTCTAAAAAATTGCCTTAAGCATATGGTTACTTGAATAATTTTATTAAAATTGTTCTGAGAACATTTTCATTTTTGCAACATTTTAATATTTTTTCTAAGCATAATTACAAATATTATTAAACTACTAATATATTTTTACCTTCAAATTTTTTTTTATTTTTTTCTTAAAACATTTCACTATAGATAACTCTTTTTTTTTTTTTTTTTTCTTTTTATTACACTTTTAAGTAGTTTATTAAATTATATCTAAATAAATTTTTATTTTTACTTATATTGAAATTTTTTTTTTTTTTAATATGACAAGTTACAAAGGATTAAATTTTTGTGAGAAAAACGTAGGTAACAAAATATATGGAGACAAAGAAGATTACAAGATAAAACTGAACAGAAAAGAAGATGAAGATTTTATTTATTCAACATATGAGCATGTTGATGTAGAAATATCAAAAGATACTAATGGGAATATTGCTTGTAACGAAAATAAGAAAATATATGAAATAATGGTAGAAAAAATAAAAAAAGAAAAAAAATTAGGAGTATTAATTATAGGAATTGGTGGGAATAATTCTACGACATTATTAGGTGGAATTTGTGCCAACTCAAAAAATTTAACATATATAAATAAATATGATTTAAAAAAACCAAACTATTTAGGAAGCATTTTTTTATCATCTAATATTAGATTAGGATATAATCAAAAGGAAAGAGAACATTCATATTGCCCTATTCATAAATTAGTTGATTTTTATAATCCTAAAAATATAGTTTATGGTGGATGGGATATAAACAATCTAAATTTAAAAGACTGCTTAATTAGAAATAAAGTTTTTGAATATGACTTAATTGAAAAAATAAAAAATTATTTAGATTATATTCCTTTAAAAAGTGTTTATTTTAAGGGGAATTTTATATCTGATAATCAACAAAGCAGGGTAAATAATATATTGATTGGACAAAATAAGTTGGAAATATTGGAAAAAGTTAGAGATCAAATAAGAAATTTTCAAAAATATAATGATTTAGATGACTTAATAATATTATGGTCAGGTAATACAGAAAAAAATATTCCACATATTGAAGGAATAAATGACACATTAGAAAATATTTTATGTGCATGTAAAAATAATCACCCATCTATTTCGCCAAGTATGATTTATGCTTTAGCTGCAGTTTTAGAAAATGCTCCTTTTATTAATAGTAGCCCTCAAAATACATTTGTAAATGCAATAGTACAACTAGCAAAAGAAAAAAGAGTTTTTATTATAGGGAATGATTTAAAAACTGGTCAAACTAAAATTAAAAATTTTCTTTTGGATTTTTATTATGGAACAGGTATAAACACACACACACACACACATACATACATACATACATACACACACAAGAAAAAAAAATTTTTTTAAATTATTATTCTTTTTTATAATATTTTCATTTATATATATTTATATACATATATATTTTTGTTTCATTTTTTTTTTTTTATTATTGTAGGGCTAAAACCAAAAAGTATCGTTTCCTATAATCATTTAGGAAATAATGATGGAAAAAATTTATCATCTAGTCTTCAATTTCATAGTAAGAAAATTTCAAAGAGTAATCTAATTTGTGATTACGTAAAAGCAAACGAGGAATTATATGATGATCAAATAGCTGATCCTACTTTTAAAGAAAACAAGGAATATAGTCATGTAGATAGTCTGAATGAAGTATGCAATGAATATATAGAAAATGAGAAGGAGAAGGAAGTTTTTGATGGAGAATATATTGAAAAACAAAAAGTAAATAGCGAAATTGTCATTAAATACGTTCCTTATGTTGGTGACGATAAAAAAGCAATAGATGAATATATCAGTGAAATTTTTATGAATGGAAAAAATACAATTGTTTTATATAATATATGTCAAGACTCGCTTTTAGCTTCTCCTATATTAATAGATTTAATTCTTTTAGTAGAGTTATCACAACGAATTAATTTTAAATGTAATGAAAAAAATGAAAATATCGAAGAAATAAATGTTAATATAAAAATAGAAGATTATCAATTATCTCATAAAATATTAAAACCAAAATATAGTAATTACAAACAAATGGACAGCATTTTGTTTTTGTCCAGTATCTTTTGTAAATCTCCATTTAATTCAGATACATATAAAACAAGACACTCATTTTTTTCTCAATTAGAAAGTTTAAGTAATTTTATTAGAATTATTTCAGGTTTACCAATAGATGCACAAATAGATTTACCATATATGATATAATATTATCCCAAATAATTTTATTTTTTACTTTATTTACTTCCTATTATTTTTCTATTATTTTTTATATTAGTCTTATGGTAATATTATAAATGTGAATCTTATTCATTTTATTTTTTATCTTACTTAAAAATTTTAAAAACAAAACAACATAAAAAAAAAAAAAAAAAAAAAAAAAAATATCAACTTAGATTAAGCTTTTTTGAAGCTATATTGTGATAAATAAACTTTTCTAAATTATTAATATCAGTGCACTTAAAATTATCTGAAATTTTTTTTTTATCATGTAAAAAAGATATTTCATTAAAATTTATTCGCTCCCCTTCAATTAAATCTACAAATGTATCAATCTGAATAAAAATAAAGCAAACATATATATAAAGAGGAAAACAAATAAAATCATTTATAAAAAAAATTGTTATCTTACCTCTTCATTTGTAACATTAAGGCCAACATAAATTATAGAAGAAGAATCGTTTTTTATTTGATATTGTTTTAGACATTCATTAATCTGAAACATAAAAAAATAAAAAGATTATAAAATAAAAAAAAAATAAAAAAAAAATAATAAAAAAAAATTAAAAAAAAAATGATACGTTTTCATGTGGAGATAAAAGAAAAAAAATCTCTAAAATCATATTTTTAGTAATCCTTTTTTTTGTTATAAAATTATAATAGGCTCTATAAATACTATGTAATATATGATTTTCATTAAAAATCTATAAATTGTAAAATTAAAATAAATTATTAAACTATTCATAATATCATTATTTTTTTTTTTTTTTTTCCTCATTTTTAAATTATACAAGTTCACTATCTAACAAAAGAAAAAAATGGTTAGTATCATTAAAATCACTTATATGTTTATTATAGGATTCTAAAATATTTTTTGCATTAACTACATTTTTAAATAAAATTAAAGTAGTATCTAATTTATTATTTAAAATACATAATTCCCTTTTTCTCATTTTTTGATTTTTTCATAACAAAATGCTGTATTTGAGCATATTAGTGATTAAGAATATCTCTTTATTTTTGAAATTTTTATCATTATATAAATATAAAAGGATATTAAATGATAGGTAATATTTTTTTTTTTTTTTAAATAATTAGTAAGAATAATAAAAAGATTAAAAATAAAAGAATTTACAGATTGAATTAATAAAGGAAAGAATTAATTTTTAATTTATATGCATGTGCATATCTACATAAACTTACAAATTTTACTTTTATTGAAATATAATTTAAGGAAAAAAAAATTAAAGAATATAAATTTTAATTTTATAATATTAATTATTCTTATTTTTAGTTTTATATATATATATATATTTTAAATTATATTATTTATTTTTTTTTTTTTTTTTTATATTCTTTAAATATATTACAATAAAATGTTATTTAGAAAAACCCTAAAATTACAATATTACTATATAAGATCATATATATATTAATTAATACATAAAACTAATATGGATTAATTGTAAAATTAATGATAAATAGATTCATTGAGTATTTCATTAATTTTTAAGAAATATAATTTTTTTTTTTTTTTTTTATTTATGATATCAATTTTTCTACCAATACTTTTTGAGAAATTTTTTAAAATTTTTTTCTTTATAGAAATACTTCTTTTGAATTCTTTTTTTTTTTTTTTTATGTGTTTTTATGTATGAAAATTTCTAAAAAAAGAAAGATAGGAAAGAAAAACTGACATATTTAATGAAGCTTTGTAACATTTATATTAACTATAAATGATATTTTTATATATCTTATTTTCAGTAAAAAAATCATAAAAATTGTGACTTTTAATATGAAAAATTCTAAATTGTCTTTTTTAATGTAATGACATTTTAAATTAATATATAATTTAAAATTAATTATTTTTTTTTTATATAAATAAATATAAAATTTTTTATAAGTATTTTTTAAATAAGTTAGGTTGAATTATAATTAGACATATTAAAATTTTAAAAAAAAAATTTACGTAATGGAAATATCAATTTCTATGTTATTTATTTGGATAAAAAGAACAAACAAAATTTTTTATTTTATATATTTTATTATAAAATCTATATTTTATACAACTGTAAAAAACTTCTACTAAAAATAAATTACTGTTATTATAATTTATAAATAAAAGAATATTTAAATATTCTTTAATATTTGAATTATCTAAAATATTGTATCCTTTGTAAATTTTTTTTTTATAATTGTATGACTTCCATGTAAGAATGTATTTTAATCATATTATCATCTTATTCATTCTCTTATAAGCAACATAAATTAAAAATTATTTTTTAAATTATATTTATCCTATTTTTCCAAAACAATTTTAACTTTCCTTTCTAAAAGAATAGAATCTTTTATTTCACATTAATGCGATTAGAAAATTATTGTATTACCTTATAATTATTTTTTTTTAATTAATACAGATGTATTTTCAATTATTTGTATTTAATGAAAAAATATACCATTTTTCTTTTATATTTATAAGAAAAAAAAAAAAAAAAATTCACAAAGAAAACATATAAAGTTTTTATATAATAAAAAAAATAAACCAACTAAAATATAAATTGCAAAAATATTAGTAGAATACCAAAATTAAATTATATCAGTTAAAATTAGTAGAGTGAAATGTAATTAGTGCATTAAAAAAATCGAAACTATGATAATATACAAATCATAGATGAAATTTAGTGAATAGAATGTTAATTTAAAAAGAATATTTCTTGTAGATATTTAAATTTTAAAATAATATATATATTTTTTCAAAACAAAATGAATTTAGAAAAAAAGTAGAATAAAAAAAAATATTACTGAAGGAAAAAAAAAAAGAAAATTTAAAATTTTTTTTTAAAATACTAATTAAAAAGATGTGATTAAAAAAAAGGAAAAAAAAAAAAAAAAACATTAAAAGCACTTGTATGCACCAGTATTTTCATTAGAATAACAAAAATGTTGAAGAATTTTAAGAAGAAATATAAAATAGATTAAAAGATTAAGTTTAAAAAATCATAAAAAAAAAAAAAAAAAAAAAAAGACAGTACATATATTAGAGAATTTAAAAATGATAACATAGCTATAACAAAGATATATATAGATATATATATATATATTTAAAATAAAATGATAATTTTTTTTTTTTTTTTTTTTTTTTTTTAGTTTTATTATTTTTTCCATATTTACAGTTTCATAAAATTTTTGTATTTTTTTACAAAGAATAATTAAAAATAATTCAATATATAGAAAAGAGGATAAGTTTAAAAAAAAATTAATATATGAAATGAAGAAAATATATTTATTATTGATTCTCTTAATAAATTTAAAATTAAAAAATTGTTTCAGAAAGAATATAAAAAAAAATTCTTTAAAAAATAGTATAGGAGATTTAAGTAGTGAAAAAAGAGAAAATGTTTTAATAAATGATCTAAAACATTTAAATAAAGAAAAAAAGGATATTTTAAAAATTAATATAAATAGTTTAAATAATGAAGAAAAAAAAAAAGAGAAAAAAAACAATGATTATTCTTTTCTTTCTTTAAAAATTATTCCATTTATATTAACATCATTACTTCACACAGGGGTTAATCAGATACCACGTGATAATGAAATACATCATTACGCTTTTGAAAAAAGTCCCATAATAAGATATATGTTAAGATTAGAAGAAAGAAAAAATTCATTTCTTTATATCTTTTTTATTGTTATTTCATTTTTAGTAGTTATAATTATAGCTTTTTTTATTTTTAAGTATTTTTTTAATTTTTAAAAAAAAAAATAAAAATGTAGAAAATAAAAGAAATTTAATATTAATAAAAAAAAAAAAAGAAACATAACAAAACAAAAAGAAATATATATATGAATAACAATTAAGAACAGTAAGTACAAAAATTACATATAATAATGATATATAATTTAATAAGAATTAAAATAAATAAAAATTTTTCTTTTTAAAATTAGAAAATTAATAAAATTGAAAGAAGTTGGTATATAAATATATATATATATATATATGTATTTTTTTTTTTTTTTTTTACATTAAAATTATATATTTCTATCTTCTCTTTTTTTATAGTCATTAATAATGCAAAAGGATATATATGTGAGGAGTATCGAAATCACTTTTAGCATATTTATAAAAAGGAATCTCATTATTTAATTTGTTTGGGCACATTAAGTTATAAATTTTTAAGGGATTTTTATAAATTATTGTCTTCTTTTATTATATCTGATTTATTTAAATCATACATGTATTTATTATAAGAAAAATTAGAGAAATTTGCGTAATTTTCCATTTTTTTATAAAACTAATATTGTTATTAATATTGTTATTATTAATATTGTTATTATTAATATTGTTATTATTAATAGTTATTAATATTGTTATTATTAATATTATTATTATTAATATTGTTATTATTAATATTATTATTATTAATATTATTATTATTAATATTATTATTATTAATATTATTATTATTAATATTATTATTATTAATATTTGTTAAATGAACATTTTCATTTAAATTGTGAACTGAACTAAATGATCTTTTTGAAGGTGATGAAGAATTACTTAATATTATGTTTTCTTGATTATTTCCTAAATTATCACAAAATATAGAATTATTTATTATAACATTATTATCTACATAATTATTTTTTTTAAAAAAAAGATAATTTACAGGATTATTTAATTTAGTATTTGATTCAGAAATGAAATTATTATTTTCTTCATTTGTTGATATATTTAAATTAGATTGGATATTTTGACTTATGCATACAGGTAATTTATTATAATCAAAATTTAAATTCGATCTTTGAACTTCATCATTAATATCATCAAAAATATTATTATTAGATGATTTATTTTTTAATATACTTTCATCAGCTATTTTATTAACTTTATTATTATTGTCTTCATTTAAAATAATATTATTATTATTATTATCATTATTATTTAATACATTTCCTATAATTAAATTTCTATTTTTATCTGAAGAAATATTTCTGATTTCATTTAGTTTAACTAAATTCAAATTATCCATGTTTTCTCTTTCTTCATTTATAGAACAAAAATTTCTTTCATTCATATTTTTATTATTATCATAAAAATGTTCATTATTTTGATTATCTAAATTATTCCAAAAATCTTTTCCTGATATTTTATTATTATTGTCATTAAATAAGAGAGGTGATTGGTATTCTTTAAAACTTAAATCAACATTCATTTTATTATTATTATTATTATTATTATTATTATTATTATTATATATATTTTTGTTTAACTCATTTTTCTGCTTCATTCTGTCAAAATACAATTTCTGCTTTTCTTCATATTCACTTATATTTTTTCTTATATCTAAATGATTAAATGCTTTATTTAAATATTTTGTGTTAATATTATTATATTCCGTGTTATTATTATTAATTTTATTTTTCTTATAAGTATTCAATTCTGAAAAAGTATTTGAATATGTATTAGCTAAATTATTATTTAGGTGATTATTATTTATATTTATTTCAAAAGTATTGTTTAAAAATTTTATGTTATTTTCATTATTAATATTAATCATATTATTATTTATATCTGATGAGATTGAATTTGTTCCTTTATTTATTTTTCCTAAATTTTCTTTTTCTTCTTTTTCAAAATTTATGTAAGAATTTGAATTGTAATATTTTTTTAAAAATAATGGATTAACTTTTTGATCAAATATATTATTGTAACTACTTGATAAATACATATTTATACTGTTATCATTTGTTTTATTTAGTTCATTAATTTTGTTTTCATTTTCTAAATCTATTATATTGAAATCTGCTAATATATTTCTTTTATGGTTATTTATAGTTATTTTATTTATGTGATTATCTAAAGAAACTTTTTCTATATTATTACTAACATTTTTATAACTTTCTAAATTATTTAAATTAGGTACTATTTTCATAATATTTGATTCACTTAAACTTTTTTGACAATCATTACTGTTACTGATATTATTGTTATTATTATTATTATTATTATTATTAAAATAATTAGAAAAATTTAAATTTTGTATATTTTTATTATTATTATTATTATTATTATTATTAGGATGATCTAAATAATTAGTAAAAACATTATCTCTATTAAGTTCATTAAATATCATTAAATTAGAATTTTTCATATCTATTTCTAATGGATTTTTTTCTATATGATTTAAACTATTGTGGGAATTAGTACAAGAAGGATCATTAATAAAATTAGCTAAAGAGCAATTACTATTTATTAAATAATCATGAGTAGGTTTTTTTTCATTACTATTATTTGCACTACTAAATATATCTTTATATTCAATATTATTCTTATTATTTAATAAACTATTGGATGTCATAAAATTATTATTTAATTTATTATATAAATCAAATTTTTTTTTATCTAAATTTTCATTAATGTTACTGTTATATTCATTTATATTTTTAATTTCTTCAAAATTTTGAAAATTTATTGCTTTATTAATTGTATTTTCGTTATCTTTATCTTCATTTATTATATTTAAATTTTTATTGTAAAACATTTCAGGAAATGAACTGTTAAAACTTTTTACGAAATTATTTGATAAATTATAAAGATTAGAACTATCACTTACATAATTATTGCTATCATTATTGTTATCACTAAAATAATACATGTTTTTCTTTTTTTTTTCTTCTTCTATTTCCTCCTTTTCTTTCTCATTTTCTTCACTAATTATTCTTCTATTTAATTTAACATCTTGTTCATCACTTTTTGATACATTGTTTATTTTATTATCATAATTATTCTTCATAAATTTTTCAAAATAATTTATTTTATTTTTTTTATTATTTTTTTCTTTTTCTTTATTTTCTTCCACATTTGTTTGTTCTTCTTTTTCTTTTAGTTTTCCTTCTTCCTTATCTTCTTTCTCTCTTATTTCTTTTTCTTCACTTAAAATTTCCTTTGATACTTTTAAATTATTCATAAATGTGTTATTATTTCTTATTTTTTGAACATCTCTTAAATCTAAAATATTAGTATTATCATCATTATTCTTATGATTTGAAAATATTTCATTTTCTTGTTTTTTATTCATTTTTTCTTTTTCTATATTAAAAATTGGAGTTTTTTTTTCATCATTATAATATACATCAAAATTGTTCGCATGAAAATTCTCTTTTTTATTATCATTTATAGACATATAATTTTTCATTTTGCTAATGCTTGTAATATTCAAATAGTTGGATGGCTCAGGAAAGTTAGAAGAATTTAAATTGTGAATATTATTATTTTTATTCAAAATATACTGAGAGTTAAAATTAAAATTTAAATTATTTGTGCAAAAAGAATTACTTTTAGAATTTTTTGTAAAAATGTCATTAAAGTTTTTATTTTTCAAAGGAAGAGCATTATTTTCATTATAAGAGTTATTTTTAACAATTTTATTTTTCTCAAAAATATTACTATCATTTAATTTGTTATAAGTATCATAAAATTTATTTAAATTATTAGAAAAAATATTATTTTTTATATTTTCATGAAAATTTTGATATATTATAGGATTTTCTTCCTTCTTTGTTTTTTGGTTATGATAGTTGTTCTGTTTTTCATTGTTATAATTACCATAAATATTATTACTGTTTTTATTTAAATCAATAATTTTGTGATTATAAGAAATATTATCATTATTTCCTCTTTTGGTAAAAAATCCATTGTTATTATCATTTTTATTTTTTTCTATGTGAATATCATTAGAATAGCTTTTCACACCATTATCATCTGTAATTTTTTTTAATAAGTAATTATAATCAAAATTATTTTTGAAATAATCTTGAAAATAATTATTTTCTACCTCATTACTTATATTAAAAGAATTATATATCTTTTTGTAAATTTCATTTTTCCTAATTAAAACATATTCATGAATCAAATAATTTTGAATAATTTTATCAATTATTTTTATTAAAAAGTTATAAATTATCTGTTTTCTTTCATATATATCATTCATACTATTATTATTTTTCCATAATATATAAATAAAATTATGTCTTTTTATATTTTCTATAATCATATCATTTGCATCATTTCTTATTGCTTCAAATGCTTTCTGACCTTGAATAAATTTTTCTTTTAACTTTTTTATATTTACATTAGAAAATATATCTTTTAATAATAAATAATCAAATATTTTATCAATTGATAAATTTATAAAAAATTCTAAGTTTACTTCATCTTGTTTTTTATAATCATTTATATTATTTATATCATTATTATATACCAATAATTTTATAAACACATTCAAACCATATGTTTCATAGGCGTTTAATAACATTTTAGAAAATTTTTTTAAATTAAAATCAGAAAATATACGATTTATTTCTTCATTTTTACTATTTTCCTTTAAGAAATCAATTTCTTTTTTTTTTTTTTTAATTTCTATCATTTCCTTTTCATAATTTTCTTCACATTTATTTATTTCATTTCTTATTTTTTCTATTTCTTTCATAAAATTGTTATAAATGGCTTGCTCCTCATTAATGTTACTATATTCTTTTTCATTAATCAAAATACTATTACTTATATTATTTAATTTATTCTTATTATTTATATCTTCTAAATTATTTAAAATTGAATCACTATTTATATTTTTTTTATAGTTACCAACAAAAAACCCATCTTCACAAAAATTTTTATTATCAGACGTAAATAAATTTTTTTCTTCAAGATTCTTATCTGATTCAATATTTAAAAAATTATCTTTTACTTCCATATTTGTCTTCTGGTTATTATAACCACTGTGTATTAAATGATTGTTGATATTATTACTATAGTTAGATATATTTGAATTGCAATTTTCTATCAATTTTTCATTTGATGATATTACATTTTCCATACATAATTGTAACAATTTTTGCTTTTCTCCTATATTTTCTATTTCTATATTTTCAAAATTATTTTTCATCAAGTGATAATTATCAACATATTTATTTTCTCCCTCTATTATATTATTATTCACATTATAATTTTTTCTATTACTTTTATTTGTTTTGTCTTCATATTCAGGAGGGTTTTTTATTTTTTCTTTTGATGATAAATGTTCCTTAATAATATTATTTTTTTCATTTTCATTTTCATACATTTCTTTTTTTTTTAAATTGTTATCTTCTGTTTTATTATTTTTCTTATATCTTTTGGATATATTATTATTATCATTTGAATTTTCTTTTTCTTCTAAATTTTCATTTAATAATATTTTTTCTTCATTATTAGCAGATATCTTTTTCTTTACATCAATATTGTTATTTGCATCATCAACATATTTCTTTTTTTTTACTTTCTCATTTTCTTCTTTTTCTTTTTTTTTTTCTTCAGTCTCGTAATCTTCTACTCCACAATCTGCTTTTTTTTTTCTTTTCTCTTTATCTTCCTCCTTAGTTATTACTACTTTATTATTATATCCCTTTTTTGATTTAGTTGGTTCTATATCTCCTTCATTTTTATTTGAATAAAAACAATCATCAATAGTTGCATAAGATTCATTTAGTTTATTTTCATCTTTTTTATCTACTTTAAATATTTTTTTTATTTCCATAGTTAAATAGTTTTCTCCTTTATTCTCTTTATTTTTTTTCTCTTTTTTCTTCTCATTCATTATGTCTTTATTTTTTTCATAAAATTTATATAATAAAAAAAATTGTTCAATTGTGTTTAATGAAAACATTTTTTTATTTTTTATAAAGTGAGTTATATTGATATCCTTTAAAGATAATTCGGCATTTACAATCTTTATAATTATAGTAAACACGTTTAAAATTTTTAAATATACATTTTTGCATTCATTAAATATTTGATTCTTTAAACTTTCTTTTGTGTTTAAACCATATTCATTTAAAGCATAATTCATATTATATAAAATGTTATAGAAATATTGAAAAATAATATTTTTATTTTTATTTGGTATATCAATATTACTCCTAATATTTTTTAAATGTTTTTTTAAAGTATATATAATTATTTCATTTTTTCTTTTCTTTACGTGAATATTTTTAAATAAGTATGTAATACATAATATTAACTCTAAAATGAAATATCTCGGAATTTTTTCTTGATTATCATTTTTATTCCTATATACTTCTTCAATTAAGTTCAGTTCAACATAATTTTTTTTTTCCTTTTTTGTTACTTCTTTACCGAAAGTGTTTAAAAGATATAATAAGGTTTTTTTTAATTTCGAAAAATAAAACAATATTTTAAAAATAAAACTATTTTTAATAATATTATCAATAGCTATCTTTGCCTCTTTTAATATGAGATTAAAATCCGTCTCTATTTTTTTATTTACTTCTTCATTGATATAATTCTCTTTTTCCATTTGATTTATATCGTTTTCATCATTATTGTTATTCAATTTTTTGTCAAATTCTATTCTATTTTTTATTTCTAAAAATTCACTATAGTTCAATTTACGTACAATTTTATTATTCTCATTTTTTGATATTATCATTTTTATATTTTCTCCTCCATCATATAATTCTACTTCTTCACATGCATATTCATTTTCTATTTCTCTTTTCTCTGTTTCTTTTTCATTTATCTTATTTTTTTGTTTAACCTTCATAATTTCTTCACTTGAAAAAACATTCTCTTTTATATTTTTATCATTATTATTTTCCATAAGATCATATATATCATCTGTTACTTTTTCATTATTATTATTTTCTTTTTTTTTCAAAATATTTTTATTCTCTTTATTTATAGATAAATTAGTTTTATCTTTGTTTTTCTTTTTTTTTTTAATACTAAGAACTAAATGTGGGAATTCACTATTTTTATTTAATTTTTTTTTCTTTATTAATTTGTTCTCTTCAATCATTCTATTTATTTCAGTTTCATTATTTTCTTTTGTTTCATCATAAGTAATATCATTTTCATTCTTAATTTTTTTTATACCCATTTTCTTTTTATTTACATTTTTTTTTTGTTGCTTACTTTTTTCTTCTTCTTCATAATATGCATTATCGTCATCATCATCATCATCATCTTCATCTTCATGTTCATCTTCATCTTCATTTTCTTCTTCTTCTTCTTCTTCTTCTTCATTATATTCATCATTTTCATTTTCTTTTTCTTCCCTTTGTTGCTCTATTTTATTGTTTTCTTCTATTTTTTTGTCTTTTTCATTGTTTTCTTCTCTTGCAGAATAAAATTTACATTCTTTATTTCGATCTTTGTCTATTTTTTGCTCTTCAATTATTGCTTTTGAATTTTTCATAGCTTCATTTCTTTTATCATTAATATTCATTTTAAGAATTCTATTAATGTAACTATTTTCATCTTCTAAATTTTCTGCTACTTCTAATTCATTTGCAAGAACTGTTTGTAAATCACAAGCTAATGGACATATGGCTTTAACAGTTCGATCAGGAATTTTATATATATTATTTGAGTAAAGTTTTTTTTTTTTTTTTAAATCATCAGTTAAATTAAAAAAATAATAATCTGGATTATTAAATTCTAATATAAGAGAATGCAAAAACATTCGGAAACACCAATATTTGTCAATATTACTTAAAGAAGGATTTAAATATTTCTTATCAGAAACTAATGGATGACCAATATGTCTCATATGAACTCGTATTTGATGTGTTCTTCCCGTATGAATCTTAACATTACACAAAGTAAATTCTTTTGTGTAATTTTCTATTTCTTTTATATCTGTATGTAAGTAATCATCTGAAACTGAATTACAACGAAAACATAAATGATGACACACATTTTTTTTTTGAGAATCATCTCCTAAATAATTTTCATTTTTATTAGTATTTAAATTTACGGAATCCAATTTTATTATTTCTCTCTTTTTAGTTTGATCTTTTATTTCATTTTCTAAAATATTTTTTCTTGTTGAATCTTTTATAATATCATTTTTATTAGTAACATTTTTGTTACTTTTCTTTCCCCTTTTTTTCTTATCTTCTAAAATTTGAGAATCTGAATAATAATTAATAATAATATTGCAATTATTTTTCTGAACATATGATGAATAATCTGATGATGTAAAATACATGTATTTTCTATTATTATTTTTATTATCAGATAATGAATCTTTAATTACATATCTTTGTATAATATTTACATTTTTCTTTTCTTCATTTAAAAATTTATAATAGTTATCACTATATATTTCTTTTTTAATATCCTTTTTAATAGTACTATTACAGTTATATTTTCCTCCTAAAACTTCTTGAATAATATCTTTAATTGGTCTTTTTAATTTATAAATTTTTACACAATTATATTCCGTGTAAGCATCTGTACCACCTGTTTTAACTACTAAACTAAAATGACTTTTGCTATGAAAGTTATTATATTCATGAGTTTGAATAGACTTATTGATAAAACCTTTTTTTTTTTTTATTCTTCCATGACATAATAGAATATATTCTTTATAAACATTTCTTTTACGAAATTGATCAAATAAAAATTCTCTTGCTTCCTTTGTTTTTGCAATTATTAAACTTCCTGATGTTTCTAAATCTATTCTATGACATAAACCGCATTCTAATTTATGCCATTTTTTAACTGTTTCTAAATGAGGAAATGATTTCATCATAAATAAATGAAATGATTCTACCCTACCACTATATATAACATCATTTAATGATATATTATTTATTATTTTTAAAACATCTCTATTTTTCTTTATTAAAATACTACATTTTTTACAAAATTTTGCTATAATATTTTCACATTTATTACATATATTTTCCATTTCCTTACAAGGTAAACACATAAATTTTGTTTTTATTTTGCATTTTATACATATTTTTTCTAATATATTATAAAAATAATCACTATATTTATTTATATTCACTAAAAAATTATATCTATTATGAGATGTGTAAGCTGAACAATGATAATATGCTGGCTTATATATAACCATCCATGTTTTTCCTTCATTACATATATATGGAATATCTTTATTGTAAATTCTTTTAAATTTATTTTTTTTTACATACTTAATTGAATTATTTGTTTTCGCATTTTTTGCAATTAAGATTTGATTACTTTCCTTTCTTAGATTTGTTTCATCATTTAAAGGATTTATTTCATTTGTATTGTAAAATATATTTTTATTATCTAAAATACTTTTTTTATTTTTATTGGAAAAAGATGAATTATACATATTCGATTTTAAATTAGTAATGTTTTTGTTAGAAGAGTCATATAAAGAACCATAGGAATTTTTTAATATGTTTTTTTTTTCATAAATATTATTATTCAATTCATTCTGTAAATCGGAATTAGAATATGTCTTGTTTATATGTATTTTTAATTCTTTATTATTTACTACTTCATTTTTATGAATATAATTTTTCTTATTATTGTTATTTTTTATCATACCAACATTCGTATTTGTAAGGATAATATCATTTTTATTATTGAAGATATTTATTAGCAGATTATTTATTTCACTATTTAATAAATACATATCTTTTAATATATTCGATTTATTATTAAATGCAACATATTTATCATATATTTCCTTTAATTTTTCTATATCGTTAAGACTTATTTGTAAACTTTCTTTATAATTGAAAAAATTCGCAAATCCTAAATTAAAATTTTCTTCTTTATAATCAGTGTGTATTATATTTATTAAATTACTATTGTATTTAAATATCAAGGAATAAAATGATGTATTTACTTGCAATAAGTTAATTTTTTTTATTGCTATTCTTAAATTTAATTTAAATTTGATAAAATTGTGTATATTTATATTTTTATTTAAAACTTTTTCATTCATAATTTCATTTTCGTTTATTTCTAATTCATTTTCATTTAACTCTCTTTTACCTTCTTCAATTTCATTTTTTTTTTTTTCATTATTATTCAATAGTTTATTAGTTGTATCTCCCTCTTTTACAATTTTACCAAATGTTGACATTAACAATTCATTGTTATTTATTAACTCCTCAATTTTTAAATTTTCTAAAAAATTAATATCTTTTACATAATTATCATTTAAATCTTTTGAATAATTTTCTTTCATTATTTTGTTATAATCATTATTTAATATTTCATAATACTTTTTGTTCATTTCTGTGTAATAATTTTCATTTAATTCTTTACAATGATTCTCTTCAATTAATTCTTTCATTATTCTTTTATTACTAATTAAAATTAATACATATATTATTTTACTAATGTTTATGTTTATTAACACATCATCACCTGCTTCTTCATCTATGTTTTTTTTTTTTTTTTTTTTATCATTTTCTTCGATTTCTTCAATATTTTCATCTATTACACTTTTAATTTTATCTGTATTTTCTTCTTTTATATTTGCATTATCACTGTTTATAGTATTTTGCTCTGCATTCATTCCTTTATATACATTTATTTTTTTTTTCTTTTCATGTTCGTCATCATCTTCTAAAGCACACTTTACTTTTATAATATCTTCATTTATATTTGTATTATTATTTACAATATTTTTTTTCATTTCTTTTTTTTCAACTGTTGTACTATTTTTACTATTTATTATAAGAGAATCATTAAAGGTACATTCTTTATTTTTCATATTATTATCTGAAGCGTTCAAACTGTTTTCAATTAAAAAACTATCTTCAAAATTAACTTTATTATAATAAACATAATCATTATAAAAAATCATATTATTCAACATATAATCAAAATCAGCAAAAGAGAAATATTTTCCTGAAAATAAATATACAAATAAGAATATATTTGTTCTTATATTAATATCTAATATATGTTGTATTAATATTAATATTTTATCATAAAAAATATATTCTCTCTTGAATATTTCATATATATATTTAATATCTACTTGTTTCTTTTTTTTTATATTTTTTTTATTTCTATTTTTATTTTTATCAATTTGCAAATCTGGAAATAATATTTTCTGTATTAATTTTTTTTTTAAAAGATTAAAAAATTTTATGATATTTTCATTGTCATATAAATTGCACCTTTTTATACTATTATTATCATCACTAATTAAAACATGTCCTTTATTATCACTTTCATTATTTTTACTTGAATTTTGCATTTTTGTCCTATTATTAAAAGAATTTTTATTGCCATATTTTTTAATATGTTCTGTTTCATTAAACTTGTTATTTAATTTTAAAATAATTTCTTTCATTACGTTTAAAAATTCTTCACCCACACTCAAATAATTATCTGTTAATAAATTATCTACTCGTATTACATTTTTTTTTAATTTTTTTTTTGTTATTTCAATTAATTCATTGTATATATAGGAAACAATATTTTCTAATTTATCACTTTTCTCAATATTTTCAGTAACATTCTTACAAAAATAGTTATTTATAATATCATCTGAGCTTTTAATTATATTATTTTTTTTATCATTATTATTGCTATTTTCATTATTATCATTATTATTATTATTATCATTATTTTCATTATTATTTTCATTATTATCATTATTATCATTATTATCATTATTATTATTATTATTATTTTCATTATTATCATTATTATCATTATTATCATTATTATTATTGTTGTTGTTGTTATTGTTATTATTATTATTATTATTGTTGTTGTTGTTGTTGTTGTTATAGTTATTATTATTATTGTTGTTGTTATTATTGTTATTATTATTATTATTATTATTGTTGTTATTATTGTTATTATTATTATTATTATTGTTGTTGTTATTATTGCCATTATTGCTACTGTTGCTATTGTTGTTATTTCTGTTACTGCTACTTCTGTTGTTACTATCGTTGTTGCCATTATTTTTATTATTATTATTATTATTTTCATTATTATTATTAACACTTTTATTATTATCATCATTTTGATTACTACTATTCAAACTCTTATTATCACCATAATTATCCCTACTATCATAATTGTTATTAAAGTTTTCATAAGTGCTATTCGAGATTTGTCTCTTTATTTCAACACTCTTTATTTTATTTACTTTACTTTTTTCATCACTTATTTTTATATTTGACTCTATGTTTATATTTTTTTTTTCATTTTGATATACAACACTTACTTTTTCAACAGATTTATAATTTTCAGAATTTTGTTCATTATTTATTTCTTTAGTATTTTTTTTTTTATCATTTTTAATAATTATTTCCCCTTTTTGATCTTCAAAAATATCATTGTGTTTTATTTTTGTATCACAATTTTTATTTTTATATATTTTACTACTATCGAATATATTCTTATCATGTTCCAGTATTAGTAATTTGCATTTTTCTCCTTTATTATTATTATTTAAATCATTACAAAATTTTATACCCTCTTCATTTATTTTATCTTTCTCATTAGTTTTTATTTTGTTTTTTACTTCATTCATCTTATTTTTTTCTTTTTCCTCTTCTTCATTTTTATCGTTTTTAACCTCTTTATTATCTTCTATACATTCATACTGTTTTTTATTTTCCTTTTTTTTTTTTTCATCATTGATTATTTGATTAACGTTTTCTTTATTCTCAAGTAAGCTTTGTTTATTATATAATTTTTTAATATATTCTTTACTTATTTTATTGAATTCTTTTAAATTAATTTCTTCATTAACGTTTTCTAAGTTATTTCTATTTTTAAATGGAATTTTTCTTTTATTTTGTTCAATATGTGAAATATTAACTGTAACTTTATGTGGATTATTTATGTTTTCATCGTTGATTAGAATTTCACCGTCAGGTAATCTGGTATTAGAGGCAAAAAAATTATTACTTTCAATTTCATCTAAAAATATGTCATCACCTTCAGAATAATTAGAAAAATCATCATTTGATAAAGATAATATAGAACTATTAGTTGAATGGAAAGAATTTTCTAATATTTCTAATTCATATAATAATTTGTCATGTTCATACGTATTTTGAATTATTTCTCCATCTTGATTAAATTTTTCTTTATTTATATTTCTTATATCTTTTTCTTGGAAGTCATTTCTATCAACATAACTATCAACGTGAACTTTACTTGTAATGTTCATTTGATTGTCTTGCATTTCATCAATATTATTAGAAATCTTTGTATCTAACTTTTTTTGTTTGTTCTTTTCATAATTTTCAAGATTTTTTATTTCATTTTTTTCTTTTATTATTCCATGTAATTTCTCTTTATTTTTTATATAATGTAACTTTTTCCTTAATTCTTCTTTTTTTATTTTATCACATATGCATATATAATTACTTCTGCATTTGGAACAGAAATTCGAATTATTTAATTTATAATTTTCTATACATCTTATATTTATTTTCTTCAAATAATTATTTTTCTTCAATTGAATAACAATTGTATTACTATATTTTTTTAATAATTTTTTTATACTACAAGAAAATTTTCGTATTTTTTCTAAACAGTATAATTCAGATTCCTCATAAACATTTATATCTTCTAATTTTATATCTATATTTTCATTCAATAATTTCAATTCCTTAATTTTTGGTATAAACCAACTGAATATATAATCTTGTAAAAGTAATTTAGATGAGCATATGATAATTCCTATAAAAAAAAAAAATATATATATTCATAAATAAACACATATATTAATAAAAAAAAATAATAGATGTAAATATATCTTTTCAAAAAAAATTGTATATAAAAATACCTATACAAATTAATTCGTAAGATGAAGTTAAATATTTAAAAGTAATCAATGGATAGTCATTTTCGTTAAATAAATTTATATTTCCATTATATCTATTTAATATTATGTGAGAAGAAATTGGAACTAATAATATATTTAAATCAAATTTATATAATCCCTCCTTTTTATCTTCAACATATGATTCCAAATCCGAGTTAATATTCATAAAAATCAACTTATTTTTATTCTTTTTATCATAATCTTTCTTAATTGTATATAATAAAAAGAAATGAGTAGTAATTTTTATTTTATGATAAAATTCTCCATTAATTTTATAATCAATATCATTTATGTATTTCTTTTCTTTTTTATTGTCATTCTTATCCTTATAATATAATTCAATTATTTTAGAAAAAATATTATACAAATGAAATACTTTTACATTTATCAATTTTCCTTTACTATCTTTTAGAATCTTATTTATCTTTAAAATTCTATTTGATAATAATTTATTTTCTATATGCATTCCTCTTATATTATAGAAATCAACATTAAATAATAAGGATATAGATAAATATTTTTTTGATAACATTGATGATACATAATTTCTCTCTATTACATCAGTGTTATCAATAATAGAATCTTTATTATTATGAATTAATTCTGAAGTGTAAAAAAAGGATGATAAATTTCGCCCTAAAAATTCATTTTGATTAAATTTTATATTCATTATATCTTTTTCTAAATCAGTAACATGCAAATAATTTTCATTTTTTTCATTTTTTTTCCTTTTATTTTTTATTTTAAGAATATCTAAATTATCCTCTATATTATTTTCTAAAATATTATTTACATTTTTTTCTTTATTATCTATTAATTCTCCAAGTATATCATCAATATTTTTTTCTATTTCTTTATTCTTGTTATTATTTTTTTTTTCTTTAACATATAATTTATAAAGTATATCTTGTTTTTCCTTATAATAGTTCATATTTTTATCTTTAAGGAAATTTAAGTATACCTTATCTCCTTTAAAATAATAATCTATATTTATTGTATCATTTATATCATAAATAATATCATCATATAAATAAAATATTTTACTTAAACAGTTATGTATAGAATTTAAATAACTACCTTCTTTATTTAATTCGTTAGATATAGTCTCTATTCCATCTTTTATTTTTTCTGTAGTAGATTTACTTAAAATATTGTTTATATCATCATTAACATAAAAAAAATTATGCATCTTCTTTGATTCATCATTTTTAAATCGAAGTTTGAAAAGTGAATAAAATAAATCATTTTTATTATTCAAAAATAAAAATAGATTATGGAAGTTATAAAAAAAATTACTATATATATAATAGACATGATTTAAATTTCTAAAATTCCCATTGTAATTATATATACTTCTTAAATAAATGGTAAATAAATTATTATTTTCTGTGTTTATATTAATAACAGGATAGTTGTATGAAAGATAAAATAAATCGTTGTTTATATTAGAATTACTATAATTCACAAAATTCCTTTTTTTATAATCTTTTAAAATAAAGTTTAATATATTAATAGTGTTATTATTAAAATATATGGAATTTTTTGTTGAGTAAAAATTAACTTCATCACCTATTTTTAACAATTCTTTTTCTTTGTTTTTTAAAAAAGGGATTATATTTTTATTATTCAAATTAAGGTTTTCAAAATGTTTTTTTTTTTTTTTTTCTTCTTCCTCTTCTTTAATTTTCATTTCTTTTTTATTTTCTTTGAGATTATTACTCATAATTATAAATCCATCCTTATTTTTATTCATATATTCATAATCATTTAGTTGTGTGTAACCTTCTGAAAATAAATATGGTTGATGCATGTTTAAATAAAAATTATTTAAGGACATAATAGCATTAAAAACAAGAAGTGAAAATTCGTTAGTGTAATGATAATTATAAAAATGATTATATTCTTGCAAAAGAAATCGTAAAATAATTCTAAATAAATATTTTTCTTCTTCCTTTAAAAAAGAAAATTTCATAAATAATTTTTCTATAATTTGTTTCTTCTCTAAAGGTAATGTGTTATCTAATTGAAAAAAATTATCCAGAGGAAAATTAAAAACATAATTAAAGAAATGAAATAGAAAAACGTTAAATATATAACAGTGGTTGTTAAAATCATAATATGATAAAAACAAGTTATACTGCTTGTAAAATAAATACCAAAAAGAGCTATTAAATTGTATAAATGAAAATAAATCTCTTTTACATTCAAAATTTTTGTCAACAATAAGTAATGACCCAATAATTTTATGTAAATTATCTAAAAAGCATTCTAAGCTATTCATTTTTATTATTTCTTTATTATTCTCGTTAAAATTATCATTTAAACCAATACCAAAACTAAACATATTATTTAGGATATCAAAAAATGGTGTAAATAAATCTTGTGTTAAATCTCTATCATCAACAATATTTTGTAAAGTAAAAAGTAAATCTGTAAAATTAAAAAAAGATTCATATCTTTGAAATACATAATTTTCATCAATACTATCAAATATCTCTAAAATATAATTTAAAGAATAAAAATCTTTTTCTACAGTGTTGTAATTTATTCTTTGGAAATTATCTAAAAGTATTTCGTAAATGTTCTTATTATTTATAATATTACTTTCATTTAAAAAACTCATATTTATACCTTTAATTTTTGACAGAAATAAAAATATTATATCTAACCCGTTATAACATTTATGTATATCATATCCATTTTTTAGTAAAACTATTTTAATTTCATTTATATTATTTATATTATGTTTTTTCATCATTTCACTAACCTTATCGATAACTGATATAAAAACATTTTCTCTTAATACATCGATATATTTACTATTATTATTATTATCATTATCATTATCATTACAATTCTCTTTTAATTTTAAATTAACAGAAAAATTTGATGTAAATTTTTGATCAATATTCATACTGTTTGATATATTCTCAAAATTGTTTTCAAACATTAAAGATATATTTTCATTCTTGAAAGCTTTCTTAGAAAGTTTATTAAAATGTAAATGCTCATCTACAGGAATTCTTTTTAATAAAGAGTAGTCATTTTTTTCTTGTTTTTCTTCCATAGAATAATTTGTTCCACCTTCATCTATAGAAGAACATAAATTATTTACATTATTTCTTTCATTTTCATTTATTATATTGTTTTCACTTTCATTTTTTATTTTTTGTTTAATTTGTCGGAAATGAAAATAGTGCATCAATTTTTTTAATTCTTTATTTTCTAACTCTTTTTTTAATTTTTCTAATAAATTAAATGTATTTTTATATATTTTTCTGCATTTATGTAACTCATCTTCTTTTAAAATATTTATATCAATATCGTGATAAGAAGTAATTTCCTCATTTAATTCATTTTTTTTTCTATCCGTTTTAAAATATACATTGTTATTTTTATCATTTTCAATATTTTGTTTGAACTCTTTATTGTTAAAAAAATTGTAAGTGTTTCGAAATTTTTTTTTTATTCCATTAATATCAATAAATTGAAAATTAGAAAATAAGAAATTTTTATTTGCAGTTTGTTCATCATTATCATCAATTGTTAATGATGAATGATATTCATCACTAGATATATATTTATTAATTATGTTATTTGTTTTTTCTTCTTTTAAATATTTTATAAAATTCCAGTTTCTCTCATCTTTTGAATTCTTATATTTTTTTCTTTTATACTTTTTCGATAAATTATCATAAATTTGCTCTAATTCACTAGGTATTGATAAAATATCACAAATATAAAATCTCCACATTATTTGAAGTAAATAAATTATGCATGCTTCAATATCATCAATATTTATATATTTAAAAATACTTATACAATTACACATTTTATCCGTGTTATTTTCTCTTTTAAATAGTTTTATTATTTCCGAGTAATTTTTATCAAAAATATAATCTATTTGTTTATCTAATACTTTAAAAGTTAATTTTTTTTGTAACTTCTTCAAAATTCTTAAATAATATCTTCGCACGCAATAACATAAAATGCATGTTTTTTTTTTTTGGTTTAACAAATTTAAAAAGAAAAACTCCATTTTTTTGGGACTTTGTTCATCTTCACAATTTAACACTTTTTCAATATTTAAATCAATATTATTATTATTTAAAAAAAACATATTTTCCTTTTTACAATTTTCTTTATTTTGATAATTCATTTTTTTCTCAAAATTGTTATTTTTGTTCTTCAAATATGAAAAATCCTCATGCAAATTAGACGAGAAATATCGAAAAACGCAGTCAATATCGTGATTTGTTTTTTCAAAAAAAGTATATTTTTTTTTCTCTTCTGATGTACAACTACAAAAAGTTAATAATTTCTCTAATTTATTAAAATTTTCTTTTTCATTTACATTACTTTTATTTTTAAACATCTTTTCGTAAAATTCTAAAAAATAAAAATTTTCCTCTCTTAATGTACTAACGTTTCTTTTTATATAATTAATTATTTCTCCTTTATTTATAGAAAATCTTTGGCATAACTTCTTTATGTAATTATTTTTACAATTTTTTGAATATTTATTATAAAAAAAATATAAATAATTAAAGAAAAATGTGTCGTGCATTTTACAAGTATGCATATCAAAGTTTTCATTAAAAAATATTTTTTTTAATTTTATATATTTAATTAATCTATAAATTATATTTAAATACATAAAAATTTTCTTTAATATATTTTTCAATTCTTTAAACCTGTTTTCATAAAACTCGTAAATGGTTATTCCACCTAACATATGTTCAAAATTTTCCTCTTCATTTGTGTTAAAACTTAAATTTTTATAAAAAATATCTGATAATGCTATACAAAAATTATTAAAAGCATTTTTTTTTTTTTTTTTTATTTCTGAACTGTTGATAAAATTCAAGTAAAAATAGTGATGAAAAAAATCTTTAAATACATTTAAACACATTCTTAAATAATAGTTTTGTAATTCTAATTTTTCTTCATTTTCAATATAATTTTTCTTTATGTTACTAACGTTTAATTTCTCCTTATAAAAATTATAAAAAATGTCATTAATTTCTGTGTGAAAAGGATTCCTTACACTCATATTATTTTTGTCATAATTAAGACCCTTACTAGAATTAATATTTTTCATATAATTTTGCAAATGAATAGCATACTTTATACAATTTATATTATTTGAATTAACTATTCCATTATTTATATAATCATTTACAAAATTAATATTTTTAAAATTCCTTTTTATGTTGAATCTATTTTTTGTTTTCTGTATATCATTCATAATATTTAAACGAACTTTTATCCTACAATTTTTTTCTACACTTTTATCTTTATCATTAGATATTTTAGTTATATTTATATGATTATTTTTGTCATAACTTACATAATTATTATTGTCACCATATATGCTATTTAGTTCGTTGTTTATATCATTTTCATTGATTAATTTTATTTTCTTGCTTTCTTTATTTACTTTTTCTATATAATTTAATTCTCTATTATCTAAAGATAATTCATTATTATCTAAATTATGCACTTTGTTATCTTCTTTAGATTCACCATCATTTAAATTATTTGTGTGTTCATTTTTATCAGACATAAAAATGTTTTTCTGAATATTTTGCTCCTTTGTTTTTAATGAATTAAAAAATAAAGATTTCCTTTGTGATAAATTTAAGATCGTAGATAAGTTATCATAAGAATTAATTTTCTCATTTCCATTTTGAAAATTTAAATTATTATAATCAAACTTTTCATAATTTTTCATTATGCTTTTCAAATCAAAAAAATGTCTATTTTCTTTTAATTTACTGTTATTTTTATTAATAACAATACATATTTTTGCTTTGTCATCATTTTTACAATCATAGATAATATTCTCATTATTTTCAATTTTTATTACATCTTCAAATAATTCTTCTTTTATGTTTATCATTATTCTATGATGCGTTTTTAAACAGTTAATTATTAAATCATTTTCGTTTTTTATAAAAGAGTAGTTGTTTTTATTATATATATTCATTTGTTTTTCTGGTATATATTCTACGTTTATATATTTTTTAGTTTTTAAAAGATTATTAAAATGTTTTAAAGGATAATATCCTTTAAAAAGATCAACTTCAGTTTTTATTACCTTACTTTTCTTCTTTTCCTTTTTATCATCGTTATCACTATTTATGCAATATTTTTTGTGTTCTTTTTTTTTATTATTATCCATATTATTCATATGAGAATAAGAATCATTCTTTTTGCTATTATTATCACTTATGCTTGTATTTGATTCACTTTTTTGTGATTTGTCAAAAGGAATTTTATTTATTTTGTAAACTACTTCATCATCGTTTCCTTCTTCATTTTTATCACTAGATAATGAATAAATATCATCTTTATAATTTTTATTAAATTCAAATATGTCTTTTTCTTCTATTTTAAATTCTCTTAACGTATGTAAATATAAAGGAAAATTAATATCTTTAATATTAAATTGTTGCAAAAAGAAATGATTATGCATGTCATAATAATTATCACTTATGTAAATACAATAGGAACAATAGAAATCTTTGTGACATTTCCACTCATTAAAATCAAAATATTGCTTTAATTTGGTTATTCTGTTTTTATAAATTTTATACCAAGATCCTTTTATATATGGTTTTATAATTAAATAGGAATAAGAACTCCATGTGAAATCATTTCCATTATTAAATTCTATATCATTAATTTTAGTATAATTAGGAATAGTTATATTTTTTGGATCTTTACTTTCTGATATAACAAGAGCATATAAATGATATGTGATTTTTCCGTCACCATTATCATTTTTGTTTTTAGCACTACTTTTTATTGTATAACAGAAATTTTTTCCTTCCTTATTATCCGATTCCTTTTTCTCTTTTTCTTCATATATGTCTAAGCATAATGGAATATCAATTAGTTCTCCCCTTCTTAGATTTTTAAAACAATTAATATAAAAAAATAAAACATAAGGTATTTCATTGTAGCAAGATTTTTCTATAGTTTTATATATATCTTTATCACAACTAATATAATTTCTATAAAAATTTCTTTTTTTTTTACTTATAATATTATATATTAATGAATTAATATTTTTAGTTTTGCAAAACTTATCATAATTTTCTGAATTCTTACTCTTATTATAATCATCATAATCATTATCATCACTATGGTCACTATCAAAACTATATTCATTAGATTCATCTTCTTTACTTATTTCATTATTTTTTTGTATTATTTGATAGTTTTTATTCATTAAAATTTTCTTTTTATCAGGTATATCATTTTCTACAAAAATTTTTTCTTTTTTATTTAGTAAATTATTTACACTTCCTTCTCCATCTTCATTTACAATTTCACCATCTTTATTCTTTTCCTTTTTATGAAAATTAAAATTTTTGGTTGCATTACCATCGACATCGATGATATCCTCTCTTAATTTGCATGTATTATTTATTGTTTCTATTGGAAAACTATGAAATTTTAAATTATCGTCAAAAACGTTACTATCATTAAAATCACCACTATAATTACCGATATCATTTTTATTATTACTACTTGTTTTATAATTATTATCGTCTGTTTTATTTTTTAAGTTAAATAATTCATAACATATTTGCTCAAACAATCTTATATCTTTCAAATCGTTCATTAAATCAATAATTTTCTCTTTTTTTGTATTTTGTTTTTTTAGTTTTTTAATTTTTTTATTTAATTTTATTTTGTCTTTTGTCACATCACAAGCAATACGCTTAAACAATTTTTCATGTATTTTAGTAATGGGTTCGTTACATCTGTATTGATTAAATAAAATTTTATTTAAACTAAATAATAAAACCTTTATACTTGGTATTAATGGTTTAAATAAATTCAAATAATTATTATTTTCATTATAAGTGTGAACAACTGAATACATAGATTTTTTACTATATATTTTTTTTATATCATCAACACATGTTGAAGTTGAGCTGGAATCATCTCCCGAGTGTATTGTGTTATAAAAAAGGGTGTTTTTATAATAAAATAAATAATTTTTTTTAGAAATTTCTAAATTATTCAAATACTTCATATAATTTTCGTTAGATTCTCTGTTATCGTTGTTATAAATGCAACTTTGGTTTATTTTATTACTATCATAATTTTCGCATAATTTATTTTCTTTAGTTAAATCTTTTGAATTAATAACGAATTTATTATTTATGTTTTCATCTTTTTTATTATTTTCATTAAATTTATTTATAAATATATTATGATCATTATTATCTTTATTATCAATTAAATTATCATCCTTATTTTCTTGATTTACTGTTGTATTCATTGAAGTTGATAATGAGGAAGAATGCAAATTTCTAGACAGTTTAATATTATTATTATTATCATCATTATATTTTTTATTAATTTCATTTTTATTTATTTTATCATGTGTATTAATATGAAAATTACCTTTTTCCTTGTAAAAATTTTCATTTAAATAGCTAGAATTATTTTTTTCAAAATTTTCTTTCCCTTTCTTTGAACAAAGAATCAAGGAATACATCTGCATGCATATGAAAATTCTTTGTAAAGCGATTATAACATTTTTATTATTTTTTCTAAAATATTCAAACATATTAAATGATTTAATATCACTTGTATATTTATATGGCATATCTTTTAATTCTTCAGGATTACTAATAAAATCTTTATCCAAAAGTTCAAAATAATTGCTAGTATAACATTTCTCATTTATAGAATTTTTATCACTATTTTTCTCATTTAAATCATTCGAATTATTATAATTTATTTCATTCATATTATCATTATTATTTCTATCCTTTGGCATATTTTTATTATGTAAAATATCAACATATTTCATATTATTTATACTTTCATTGATATCATAAATACTATTATTTATAACATTTATATGGACATTTATTTTATCTATATTACATAAATAATTCAAATTATTTCCATTATTTATATTATCATTAATGCTATTTATCTTATGATTTATACATTTTATATAATTGTTAACATTATTAATAAAATGTATATTGTTGTGAATATTTGGAATATCTATAAAATTTATATTATCGAGTTTGTATGTATTACCCAATTCAACATAATTTCTATGATTCACATTATTTAAATTGTTTATTTTATCATTAATATAAAAATACAAGAATTGAATTTTATCATTTATTGTACTTAACTTATCTATAATTTTCTTTTGTAAATCATAGAGATTATGATAACATAATTTATTATTACTCTCTTCTTTTATTTTTTTCAATATATCATTTTTAGTATAATGCTTTTCTATATCATATTTTTTCATCATACAATTTAATTTATATATTTTTTCTTCTTTTTTTCTTTTCATATATTTAGATAAAATTCTATTATATAAATTTCCATTATATTTCAAAATTATAACTTTAAATAATTCTATATTATATAAACAGTTAACTAAAATTGTTAAATTATCATTTTCATTAAAAGATTCTACAATGGGAACAATATAATTCGTTAATGATAATATATGTTTTCCATTATCAATAAAAAAATCATCATTTGTAGACACATTTTTTTTTTCATATTCTTTTGTTGTAATATTTTTTAATACATTTATGTTATTATTTTTAACAAGATCATCATAAACTTCCATGTTATTATAATTTGAATAAATATCAAACATTACATTATTATTTTTATTACGAATTTCATTATTGGCGAATTGATCATCATTGTTGCTTACATTATGATAAAAGGAATTTTTTAACCTCTGATAATTCTCTGAATTACTAAAATAACTTTTTATAAATTGAGGAGACCAAAATAATGAAAAATTATATATATCTATTGAATATCTGTTATACAAATAATTCTTACTATTATCGAAATTTTCCAACTTATCATTATTATCATGATCGTCCATATTTTTATTTGAGAATATAATTTTATTAAAATATGATTTGTTGAATAAAAAATTAAGTAATATATCATTTTGTTTAAAATTCGCATGCATTTTTTCAGGTATATAACTCCATATATACTTTGGTGAATGATTAAAACTTTTCGACCATAATTTTTTAAAAGATCTTTCAGCTTTTCCTTTAATTAATAAACCACCATTATCATCCAAAAATCCTGTCGTTCTATTTATTTTAGAATGACTTATCATCTTTTGCCATCCTCTTGACAAAGAGTTGTTAGTAAAAGACCAATAAGCCCATGAAGAAATTGAATTTTTTTTTGATTTAAAATTATGAATAGTTAATTGAAATCGAACATTTGGGAATACCCAATCAGGAGGGTAAAAATCCTGTTTGACTACTTCTAAATAAACTGACAAATAATTATCTTCATTTGAATTTCCTCTTGGATGAACTAAGAGTTTAAAATAAAAATCATCAGAATTTCCCGTAGTAACTGATTTAATTTCATTTACATTTTTTATACTTCTCCAAAAGTTAGGTATATATAGTTCTATCATCTCATTATTTTTTTTATGATTTATTAATAAATTATCATCATATATATTCTCATTATTTGTAAAAGATTCTACATTATCTTCTAAACACATTGAACTTTTATTCATATAAAAATTAGATATGTTTTTTTGCATAATATATAATTTATAATAATCTATTTTTTCTATATTTATAAAATCATAATTCCTTAATTCATAAAATAAATTAGTAGATTTTTTATTTAATGGAAAAATAAGAGGTGGTATTATTTTTTGTGTTATTATATTTGGTAATTGAATTACATTAGTTGAGTGTTTTTTATCCAAACTTTTGCTGAACTTACGCTCATTATCATAACTTATTTCAGTAATATCCTTTATAAAGTTATCTAAATTACTACAATTAATAATTTCATTACTTATATCCCTTATATAATTATCTTTTATTATAACATTTTTATCATCATCTTCTGTTATATCACTTCTATCATCATATTCTATTATATCAGTTTTCATATCATTTCCTATTACATCTTCATCATCACAATTATTATCGTCATCTTCAATTAAATCACTTTTATCATCGTTTTTTATAATATCATTATTATCACAGTTATCCATTATATAATATTTATGATTGCTATAAGGTTCACTTTTTTGATCATTGTTTAATTCATTAACTTCTTCATTGTCATATTTTATTTTATTAGATACCTTATAAGAATTAGTGTTTTTATTAAGAACTTCATAATTTTTACTCCATTTATTATGCTTATTATTTTTATTATCCTTATTATCACTTTTACGCTCTTCAATATTATATGATTTTTCTTTACTATCCTGATATTTTTCTATATTTTTCTTTAAACTTTTTAAATACATTTTAATTTTATTCGCACATATGATTTTTTTATTATTTTTATTAATTGATATACATTTAATATTATCAGAAGTACAACTACAATAATATGTACTATTTTTGTAAAAAAAATTATATATATTCTTTAATTTATTTATATATTTAATAACCCTTTTTCTATTATAATTCATATTATATTTTACATATATAACTCTTTTTTCTTTTTCATAATTGCTATAGCAAACACATCCCCCCTCCTTGATTTTTTGTCTCTTGAAGAAATTATAGAAATTTAATATTCCTTTTTTATAATTATCTGATAGGTAATCATTATTATAAATATTTTTAATCTTAATTTTTTCTTCATCATTAATAATTCCTTTTTCATAACTATCTTTAAAAAATTTTCTAAAAAAATTACTTTCATTATGATTATCATCAAAATTGTAACATTTGAAGATGTCTAAAAAAATTTTGCATATATTTTTTTCTGATTTCCATAAATTACATTTTCTTATTTCGCTAAACATAAAAGATATTTCTTCATCATCCATTTGAAATTTTTTTTTTAATCCATCAATTTCATTAAAGAACTCAGAAATATATGTATTTACTTCTTTAAAATTATTATTAATTTCTTTTTTCTCCAATTTTTTTTTTTTATATCCCATTCTGATCTTCATTTCCTTGATGAAACATTCAAAGCATATATAAGGAAAATTCGATAATTGCATTTCTATTTTACATTTAGAACATAAATTTATAGAACTTTTTTTTATATCATAATAATTTTTATTTTTCTTATTGTTCATATAATTATCTACCACTTTATCATCTATATCAATTATTTTACAAATTTTTTTTTTTGAATTATGTGTTATTAATTTTAATAAATTCATATCGTTAATTATATTATATTTTTGATTTATGTCATCATTATTACTATCTTTCATATATATTTTTTTTTTGTTATTTAAAGAATTCTCTAAATAATTTAACATTTTTTTTTCTTTATTTTTATTTTTCCCACAAATATATTCTGTAATTTTATAAAAATAATCCTCTTGTATATTGTGTCCATATTGTGCAATAATATTTAAATCTTTTTTTATGGTATATTTTTTTAGTTTATTTTTTCCTATTTTTCTGTAAATATCACTATTATGGCTGTATTCTGGAACACCTTTATAATCCTTATTATAATAAATACTATTTATTTTGTTATGTTGTATCTTATTACCATTTATATCATCAATGAAATGGTTACATTTCAAGTGATTCTTATTATTTTCACTATATTCTTCTAAAATATGGGATTTTTTTTTCTTACAATTTAGCTTTTTACTTTTTGTATTATGTGTATTATCTATTCTTTTATTTTTACAGTTTTCATAACTATTTCTATTGTCACATTCATCATTATTTAGTATATAATTCACTTTTTTGTAATAAACTTCTTTTTTATCCATCACAATAGCTACATTATTACAATTTTTTTTATTCTCTTCAATGGAATTATCTTTGTTTTTTACAGATAATTTTAATTTTGTTCCTTCATAATTAATAATGCTACCATTTTTTTTTAAATTGCTAACGATATTATTACTTTTAATATTATTATTTATATTACTATCATTTATATTTTCATTTATATTACTATTTGTGACATTAATATTATTATTATTGTCAATGTTAAGTTCATTATTAACAAATTTAGAACTCTTATCTAAATTCTCTAACTTTTGATAATCAGAATTAGTTACATTTTTTTTATCTCTTAAAAAATTTAAGAGGGTCTTATTATCATTAAGTAAATCACCAAAAAATAAATTAAAATTTTTATTCTTATCTATTTCAAATTTTAAGACATTATTTTCACCTTTTGTATTTTCAATATTATTATTATTATTATTATCCACTTTATAAAATGATTCTTCTTTTATAACATTATTTTTTTCTTCCAATTCGCATTCTTTGTAATTTAAATTATCTTTTATTATATCATTATTTTTATTGATAATATTATCTTTCTTGTCATTTAAATTATTATTAATTGAAAATTCTACCTTATTTACTAAATTATAATTAGTATTTTCAACATCTTTAGAATTATCATTTATAATTACATAATTCTTATCATTAGAACTTATATAATTACTCTCTAAATTATCTTTTTTACAATTGTTTTCATTAGATTCATAGACATTATTAATCTCTAAATTATTATTATTCCATATTTTCTTACCTATCACATTATCTTTCAAACTTTTTTTAAATTTATTTAATACATTAAGAAAACGTCCCTCTAAAAATTTTTTTTCCCCATTTTTTTTATGACTCATATTATTATTATTGACTTCATGTAAATTAGATTTTGTAGTATTATTGATATTAATACATTCATCTTTTTTTTTTTTTGTAAAATCATTTTCTTCATTAATTTTATGTGAATTTATATTAATTAAACACTCATTATTATGAATAGTATTTTTTTGTCTTATTTTATCTTCATCATTTATATCAGGATTAAGTATTTTCTTTTCTCTTCTTAAATTATTATTATCTTTATTCATATATTTCATATTATCACTGTAAAAAATATCACTCAATATTCTATTAAATGACTTATTACTATTATTATTGTAATTACATACATTATTATAATTATTATTTTTAAGTTCTTTGAATTTTTGAACATTTTCATAGTCTACATCTAAATAACTATCATCACTTAATGAAGAATAACTAACATAACATGAGGTATTTTTTTCATCTTCTGAATAATTTCTTTCATTTATATTTTCATTATTTATTATAGTCGACTGATTAATATATGATTCTTCCTCTAAAATATTGCATTCCATTTTTTTTTTTTTATTTTTACTTTTTTTATTATATTTTATATTTTTTGTTCATCTAACACTAAATAATTAAAAAAAAAAAAAAAAAAAAAAAAAAACATCACATTTTTTTGTGCAAAAATATATGTATTAATATACTTTTTTATAATAATAAGCTAAAAATAAATAAAAATTATATTAATAAAAAAGAAATTAATGAAAAAAACAAAATAAACTTAATAAGATTTTATTATGAATAAAAATAAAAATAAAAAGATCTTTAATGTAGGTACTTAAATATATTATAAATATTTATTAAAAACATAGTTTAAAATTTACAATTAGGAAAAAAAATCATTCAGATTTCATTAAAAATTCAAAAATTTTTATTCACACAAAATCTACATTTAATTTTTTTTTTTATTTGTATATCTTTTCTTCCCTTTATGTTTTTTTTTCATTACATTATCTACTCACGTAAATACAAAGATTACAAAAATTATAAAGTTTACGTAAAAATCAATATATATATTTATATATATATATAATATTATATATATATTTTATTTTTTAGGTATTTAAATAAAAATAGAACTTTTTATTTTAAAAATTTGTGAATATAAAACATGAAAGAATACAAAATTATGTTTATTTTATCTTTCAAAAAGGTAAAATAACATTTTAAATATTACAAAGAATTTATTAAAAAAAAAAAAAATTAATTTTTTTATTATAACATTTTAAGCTTAAAATAAACAAATATGTGTGTTTTCAACAGAAGTTGTTTTTGCTTTTTATTTTAATTTATTTGTTTTTTTTTTTTTTTTTTTTTTTTTTTTTTTTTTTTTTTTTTTTTTTTTTTTTCGTTTTATTTGTGATATTAATATAATAATAAAATATTATATTTATGAAATAAAAATAAGGCTTTCTTCTTTACTTATATAGAGGGAATAACAATATATATTCTCGTATATTATTTTTTTCTTTTATTGTTTTTTTAAAAGCATATATTAACATATATAATTTAATTTTATATTTACATTATTTATAGAAGCACTTTTAAGAAAATTAAAATTTGCTTCTATATTAAGTGCACTTTTATATATCATGAAAAAAAAAAAAAAAAAAAAATATATACCTAAGAAAAAAATAAACTTTTTTTTAATAATAATACATGGACTTTAAAGTAATTTAACTTTAACGGAAACAAAAATATAGAAAATAATGTAATGAAAAAAATATTGGAAAACCTTGAAATCTCATTCTTTTATAAATTTAATGTTTGTTCATTGATCTATTTCTATAAATCAATTTAAATGTTAATAAGTGTTTATAAATATACAAGAATATTTCTAAATATCTTATGAAATGTAAATCTTGTAGATACATAGTAATTTAGAAAAAATAAACAATGAATTCTTTTTTTTTTTTTTTTAGTCATTTATATTTTGTTATATATACAAGTAAGACCCTTTTAAGTTTTTATTAATATATTTTTCTTTGTAATAAATAAAATTATATCTTTTAGTATCATATATAAGAGAAAAATTTATTAAAATAATATACATTCCTAAGTTTTTATATATCATTTTATTCCTTTTTAAGTTCATCATATATTATTAGCTATAGCTTTATTATTGTAAGTAGAAATATAGTATTTTTATAAATTTCATAAAAAAAAAAATTAATGATGATAAATTTTTTTTTAATTTATTAAATCTGAAATATAACAATTTTTTTTTTTTTTTTATTTAACAAAAATATTTTCAATGTTTTTCAAAATTACTCAATTTTTTTTTATTGAAATAATTCTTATATATATCATGATATCAACCTATTATATAATTATATTTTTAAATTTATTTTAAAAAATAACATTTGGTTATAACCATTAATATATAAATGAATCGAATAGTATTCAAAATATTTTAGAGGAAAATTATTTAACTTAAAAGAACTATTTATTTTTTCTTATATATATAATACATATTACTAAAAACTTTAATTAAAAAAAAAATACCAGCAAAAAAAATTTTTTTTGAATTAATTAAAATACACTATTACTAAAAAAAATTATTTCCAATTATTCTAATATTTTACGAAATATTAACATATATATATATATATATATTTTTTTATTACTTTATTTTGAATATTTTCTATAGTTTTAAAGTGTTTTATTTTTCCTATTAATAAAGTTATTCAAATCATTTTTTAAAAAAAAGGGAAGAACACAAAAATAAAAAAATATTTCACTTTTAACCAGATAAATTTAAAATACGTTATTTTTAAAATATGACTAAAATAATTTATCTAATATAAAAAAAATTACATTAAATTTCAATGTTTTCTTTTTTAACCGAATAACTATTGTATACCTCTTAAATGCAAACTTCTTTTTTTTGGTAAAAATAATAGAAATAATTAAAATTATTATATATATATAAAAAAAAAAAAAAAAAAAAAAATTTCATTAAAAAAATATATTAAAAATTTTGTTGTGTAAATTTATATAAAATGTTCACATTTTTATCTTTTATTAAATGTCTTACATTTACAATATATAACTTTAAATTTTAAATAAAAAATTTTGAATTTTTCATAAGTTAAACTGATGTTCCTTAATTTTTTATATGCTATATATATATATATATATATATTTTTTTTTTATTTATATGATATAAGACAATAAATACGAGAAAAATAAAAATATGATGTTAATGAAACTTAATATTTTTATTATTTTTTTCAAGTGAATAAGCAGTCAGAAATTTTTTAGTATTTTAAGAAAATTCTTTTAAAATAAGAAAGAATAATATAATAATTTTATTTTAATATAAATGATAGAATAATATATTAACACATAATACAATGTTTATTTAAAAAAGAAATGATAAATTTTTTTTTTTTTATTTTATACATTATTATTTTATTTTCATATTTTTCAAAATTTTTGAAAAAAAGTAAACAATTTTAAAAAAACAAAAAATTAATATGAATTTTTTTTTTATATATAAAAATATGTATTTCTAATAATAGATCATGAATTTAAATAAAAAATAAGATACAAATGTAATACATTAATGATTTGCAAAATATTTATAATTAAAGGTTATGTAATGATATACAATAAAAAATGTGAATAAATAGATAAATAATTAAAATAAAAATTCATTTCTTTTAAAAATTGTAATGAGCATATTGATTTAAAATGAGGGAAAAAAGTATATACTGGTAAAATTAAAGCGTTAATATAATATAAATACAAATTTATGTTTAAATTAAAAAAAATTACAATTTATATTTTGTTAAATTATTAATCTTTTTATTTTCTCTTAAATTTAGTTCATTTTTTAAACATTTGTAGTTTCTGCAAATGAATCATCAATATAAATTCCTGTTGATTTTTCAGCAGCTATAGTCATTGATTTATTAGGTTTTCTTTTTTTTTTGAATAATATCCCTTTAATTTTTCGTATAAGATTAAAATAATATATAATGAAAATTATCAATAATAATATGAGAAATATTGAAATAATAATTGCATATTTTATAATATCATCATCTTTAATATATTTCTTATGGTTTTTATAATTATCTTCCGATTGTTTTTCAGAAGTGTTATTGTCATCTATTTGTTCATAAATATTATCCTTGTTATTGTCTTTTTCTTTATTTTCATTAATTTCGTTCTCATCTTTTATTTCAAAATCTTCATACTTATAATCAACTATGTGATTATCTTTATATATTTTTACACTTCCTTCTTTCATTAATTTATCATATTCATTATCTGTTATATTCATAACTGAATTATGTATAAGAAAATTCATAGGAATAGTATCGGAAGTATTATTTTTTGAATATAATGATACAAAACTAAATTTATTTTTATTAATATTCAAACCGGAGTCCAAACTTGAACTTAATGTATATTGAGGGGAAAACTTTTGTATACTACGTTTTTTATAATTTTCACTACTATTAATAGAAAAATCTTCATGTCTTTTAAGATCTGCTAGACTAACTTTATTGTTATTATTATTATCTCTTTTTTTTTCTTTTTTTTTTTCACAGTATTTGCAAAACTCTACTAAAATTATATTTTCATTTGTAGGACAAGAAAGGCCATAATTATCAACATTTTTATGCAAAATTCTAAATAGACTAAGATTTATATCAATATTACCATTACATATTTGGGAGCATTTATCAATATGCATAGAAAAATTAAAAGAACAACTTGCCGTATCATTCAAAAAATCACCAGTTACTATTTCTTTGTTAAAACAATTTTTCTTTTGTAATGTACCAAAACAATCATCTAATCCATATGGTTTAGACAAAATACCTTTAACTCTTATTTTATAACTTTCTTTTCCTAAATCATTGCAACTACTCCACTTACTAAATTTTTTCTCATGTAAGCATGTACTTGTACATTTACTGTTGGAAACATTTTTTATAAGTATCATCATATTAGAATCTTTGAGCAAACAGAATTTATCCTCATCATTTATAATTTCATTCCAATTAGAAAAAGTTGAATCAATAACAGAACATATATTATTTCTATCATATGTTGCAATATGATAATCTTCATAATTATTTAAACTATTTAAGCAGTCTCTCCAATCTTTTAATATTTCTTGTTTTATAATTTTTGGTTTTACGCAGAATTTTCCTAGATATATGTTATAATTCATTAAAATTCCACACTCTAATAATTTAAAACGTAAGAATAAATTAATGTGAAAATAAAGAAATATATGCAAATATTAGTAAATTATATAAATGCACACAAACTATATGTATTACTTGAATGTATAATATTAATTTTTTTTTTTTTTTTTTTTTTTTTTAACTAATTACTTGATAAAGCTATATTTTTTTTTTGACGATTATCCAATTTTTTGGAACAAGAATGAAAATCATAGTCAACAGGATAAATCATATTATTTGGTTCTTTAATAATTTTACATGATTCACTAACAGTATTTAACAGAATACATTTCTTTGTTGAATAATTATACGAAAATTCAGAACAAAAATTATAAGTTACACAAGCTTCTTTGCATAATCTTTTATTTTTTACATAACCATAGTTTATCTGAAATAATCTTAAGCATTCTTCATTATAATTTATGTTTTTCTTGTAAGAGCAATTTCTACATGGATGATTATTACAAGGTTTTTTTTCTTTTGTATTAATATTAGATGTATAACTTCCATTACAACTTCTGTTACACTTATCCAATATATTATCGTTACTTTTTTTTTCTTCTCCTATTATTATTTCTTGAATTGCGAAATAATCTTTATAAAGATTATTTTCTTTATTCAAAACTTTTTTTTTAGAATTTTCTTCAAATACTTCATTTATTTCATCAATTTTATCTTCATTGTCTTTATTACCTTTAAATTCATTTCTGTCTTTTTTTTCAATTTTATTAATTTTATTTTCAATAAAATATAAATCGTTTTTAATTTCATGAAACTGATTTTTAATTTTCTCATTTTCTTTTTTTTCATTTTCATGATATTTATGTTGTGTTTTTATTTTATTATTTTGTAACAAATTTGTATGTTCTTTTATGTCATATGAGTTTTTATTTTTAATGTCATTTTTACTTTTCTCATCAATAAAATTTATAAAATTTTGATGACTATGTTCATTTAAAACGTTATCAATATTTTTATTTGATGTCTCATCTAAAAACTTAAATTTTTTAGGGCACTCTAATTCTAAAATTTTATTCTCTTCTTTTTCTTCAGATTCTATTTCTTTTTCATGTTTTTTATGTTCCTCTTCCATATTTATTATATCATCATTTATTAATTTATCTATTTTTTTTTCTTCTTCTTCTTCATCTTCCTTATTTATTATATCATCATTTATTAAATCATCCATTTTGTTTTCACTTAATTTCTTTTCATTATTTTTCATTTCTTCATCCACTGCTTCTTTTAATTCTTGTTTTTCTGTCTTCACTTCGTTTTTTTTTATTTTACTGTTTATTTTTTCATCTACATTTTCCTTATTTGGTTTATATATTTCATGATTTGTTTGATTTTCTTCCTTTTTTTTTTTTTCTTTTTTTTCTATTTCATCTTCTATTTTAATTGACAGAGGTTGAACTTCTTCTACATTCTCTCGTTCTATTTCCGTTTGTTCTGTATTTTCATTTTTTTTTTCTTTCATTTCATTTATTTCTTCTGTTTCTTCTTTTTCATTATTATTTTGTTCTGTTATATTTTTTTTTACATTGTCCTTAGATTTGTTTTCCTCTTTATTTATCTTATCTATTTCTTTTTTATCTTTTTTTTCTTTCTCTATATTATAATCTTCTTTAATTCCGTTATAATTGTTCCAGCTAAGATATTTATCATCATAATTTTCAGAAAAATTATTTTTTAATGTGTCTTCGTTGTTATTCTTCTCTAAATTAGCTTTGATAGTATATTTTTCCTCATTTAATTTTCTATGATTGTTAAATATATAAAAATTATTCGGATAATTATTTTTTTTATTTAAATTATAATTTTTTGAATTGTTTTTATTTGTTATATACGAACTATCAATACTAGAAAAAGAAATGTGGTTATAAAATTCTTTTTCTAATAATATAAAAGATAAAATAAAGAAAAAATACCTAAAATTTAAAATATTCATATCTTTTTATAATAATTTCGAAAATTATTCTCATAAAATGGAGATGTGTGAAACAATTAAAAAATAAAAATATCTTGTGATAAAATAATTAAAATTTTGCCTAACCCGTTAATAGAAAAAATCTGCAATTTAACCTTTTTTTTTTTTTTTTTAGGGAAATTAATTTCATGCTATATATATTTATAAAATAAAAAAAAACGAAAATACAAAAAAATACATTTTTTTCTATATTATGTCTGTTTTATTTTATTCAATTTCCTTTTATATATGGTTTTAATTCTCAAAATTATATCTTTAAAGCAATTCGTTTTTATCTTTTATTAAATAACATAAAACAAATTTACAAATTTTACGAATAAAAAAACAAAAAAAAAAGTGAATTAAATCATAAAAAATACTCGTAAAATGTGTGTGTCTTTCAATAATACAATTAATTATATAACAAAATCACTATCTTCCATTAATAAAATAAAAAACTAATGACCAGAGTAAATAAAAACTTAAAAATAACGATAAATTTTAATGATTTTTTCTATTTTTTATGTAAATTATATAAAATTAAACTTTCATATAAACCGTGTGTTTTATGTAGTTGTTTAATTATAAATTTTTTAACAAGTTAAAAATTAAAAATAAAAATAAAAATTAATAGTCAAACATATTTTTTGATATGACACACATAAAATAAAGTTATATAAAATTCATATGGAAAAATAATTATTGAAAAATAATAAAATCATTTAGTATATATATTTGAAAATTCATTAGTTTGTATATATTAACAAAATAAGAAAAAGAGTTTTTGAAGAACATGTTAATTATTAAATATTCTGTTTGTTGATCAGAAACTATTTACACTTTACACATAATAAAATATTTTTATTATAAAAAAATACATGCAAAGAAGTATTATTGATACTTATAATAAAAGTCAGTATTGGGTTGTTCTCAGTTTTTACAACTATTTCAATCAAATAAAATGCATGCATGTAACTACCTTAATATAAAGACATCGAAAATTAACCTGTTCTCTTTTTTCTTTATATTTTGTTCTGTATAAACATATTTTATCATTGATAAAAATGCATACATATTTTTCAAGAAAATTAATATTTTCTTTGTTAAATGAATTCCATTTTTTTTTTTTTTTTTTAGCAAATTTTAATAAACTATGAGAATTTTTTAGTTTTGAAACATTTTTTTGTACATGAGAATCATTTTTATCTCTTCAATTCATTTAACCAGATACAATTATTTTCATTTTTTTATTTTATAATTTACAATAATTATAAAAAAAGAAAAATAAGATTAAAATCCAATAAAACTCAATTTTGTTATAAGGATATTTATTAACATAAAGAAATTTTTGTTCTTTTAAAGTGTAATATATCCTTATAATAAATTTTTTTATATAGATAAGAAAATTTCATTTATATATTTATGATACATTATTTTATCTAAAGAAAATAATGTCCTACATTATTTAATGGAATTCATTACATATGTTTATAATTAATATAACCTTTATTTTGAATAAAATACTAGAATTACGTTGGTACAAAAGAAATAAAGTATATAAATATATTTTTAAATTAGGAAAAGAGTAAAATAGAAAAAATAAAAATATAGAGTATACATTTAAAAATTTAACTATCGTATTTTATTAAACTCCTACGACTTTAAATATTCCAATAAATTCTGTCTAATAAAAATATTATACATAATCATTTAAAATTTTGTAAATATAATTTGTACAAATAAAAAGGAATTTTTTAATTATATTTTAAAAAAATGAATTTATATAAAATATTTTGTTTACTATTAAAATTTTATAACTTTATTTTAAGTCTTTAATCCTACTGATTTTTCTTTTTCTTAATGATATTTCTGTATATTTGCTTGTCACTTTTTCTAAAAAATTAAATTTCTTTTTCATTAATCTTTGAAATTTACATTCTCCATTTCTTATATTTTTTGGTAACATTAACATTTACGTAATATTAATAAAATCATATGAACAAAATTTATAATTTTAGTGTAGTAGACTTCAAAATTGAATTATAAAAATTTAATGAAAAAGAAATAAATTTTGTAAAAAATATACAGAAATACATAATTAAAAAAAAAAAAAAAAAAAGAAAAGAAAAGAAAAATTGTTGAAATTTTAAAAAGTTTTATGTAAACATATGATAATATTTATTATCTTTAATTCGGAAAAGTTACTCAAAATACTTTCATTTTATAATGCACTATTTTTTTTTTTTTTTAATTTAAAATTTTTTTTATTTTTGAAGTTAAAAATATGAACAATTTACTTGCGTTTGTGATTTTTTTTTTTTTTAGAAGAATTTTAAAAAATAAAATAGTTTTATGTTTTAATGTTAGCAAATTTCAAAAATACTTTTAAAATTTTTTACATTTTAAAATAGCAATATTTTTTTTTCAGTAAAAAATTTCACTGTATTCTTTTTTTAATTTTCAGTAGTTATAGGCAAGAAATGAATTTTAAATCTAAGTAACTTTTTTTTTTTAAGTGATTGATGAAGAAATTCAAAGATAGTTTACACATTTTCTCACCAAAAAATAAAAGGTTTAATTTTTATTCCTCTTATATATATAATTCTTTTTAATATATATATTTCATGTTCCTTAGTATATAAACTTATATTTAAATGATATTTCATAAAATAAAAAAAAAAAAAAAAAAAAAAAGAAAAGTATACAAACTTTATAACAAATCTATAATACCATATAACTTAATTGTATTTTGTAAATACACGAAAAATATAAATATGAAATTAAATTTTAATTTATAAAAGAAAAGGAGATAATTATTTAAAATCATATAATAAATAAAAGTTCATATATGCAATATTTTAAGAAAAATATATATAAATCAAATTTGCTCACCTTTTATAACTTAATTCTCTTATAAAACATAATACTTATCAGAATATATGTATATATATGTTAAATCATATATATGAATTTACATATATTCATTCAACAAAATTTATTTTATATACTTAAAAATATGCTTATGTCTTTATTTTTATTTTAATATACAGATTTAATGACAATAAGAAAAATGAAATACAAAAAGGTGTAATTTATGAAATTGGAAATGAAATAGAAGAAAATTTTGATGAAGATGTAGAAAATATAAAATTTAATGCTGATGATATATCCTCTTTTTTTTTAAAAAATAATGAGTCAGAAAATAAGGAAGAATACTTAAAATATGAAGATGAAAATGAAACAAGAAAAAATATTTATAAAAAAATGGAAAATAATAAAATGGAAACATTATTTAATCCAACTTTTAATGGTCCTTATATATGTTGTATTATTATTTTATCAAGGCAAGAGAATGTAGAATTGGAATTTATTTACCCATCTATTGATATAAATGAAGAAAATATGTTAAAAAAAAAAAACATAAAAATAATAGCACCCTTTAATGTATGGTTTAGATATAAAGGAGAATGGATAGAAGATATAAAAATGTTAATTTTAGAAAGAATGAATTTATTTAAAGATATTAATATGAGTAATATACTTTGTGATTTTAACAATTATAAATCAAATAATCATGAATATAATATTCTTTATGGTGAAAGTGGTAATAAATATTATTTAATAGCTTTAGATTATCTAGAAGATAATAAATGTAAAGAAATTATGATGATAAGCCAAATTCCTTATTTTAATATTCTTTCAATAAAATTTCATTCAGTTATACAATCGTTTTTAGTCAAGAAAGATTATAAAATATTAGAAAACTTTATTGATAGTTTTTCTTCAGACAAAATATTTGAAGATATTACATTCGATGACTATTATATAAATTTATCTAAAGATATAGAACATATAAATAATATTAAAATAAAAAACATTTTAATATTTTTAAAAGCTATATTATTAGAAAGAAAAATTGCTATATTATGTTCTGAAAAGGGAAATGCTTGTAAAATTTTATTGTTACTTTTATCATTTATTCCAGATATTATAAATTTTGGATTTAATATAAGAAATTATGAAGAGAAATTTGAAGAGTGGATAAAATTAAAATTACCATTAATCTTATTTCATGAAAATTATATTTTGTTATTACATATAGATAATCTTAAAGTATTTAATGATTTTACTGAAGGAAAAAATTATTTGTTATCTACGAATGTTGATAGTGATGTACATAATTTTATCAAAAACGATTTAGATATTTTATATGACGTAGATAAAGATAACTTAATAATAAGGAATGAAAAATTGATTAATGCATTAGAATTAACCAAATTTGAAAATAATTATTTAAAAAAAATTCATTCATCTTTTAAACCTTTTTTTAATTTAACTTCATTTTTTGAAAATATAAAACAAAATGATAAAATAATAAATACTCATAATATTAATTATTCAAATACAAAAATTAACAATATCAATAATGTTAATAGTATAAATAATAGAATTTGTAATAATTATGGTAATAAAGATAACACTAATAACATTAATAACAATATTATGAGTAACGAAAACAACACCTACAACACTAATAATATCAGTAATAATAATATTTATAATAAGGATGAAACAAATGAAATAGAAAAAAACAATTACATGAAAAATAATAAACAACTATTGAAGGAAAATAGTACAAACGAAAAGGAAATACAAGAAGATAAAAAAAAGAAATTAAATAAAAATGATATAAATAAATTAAATAATAATATATTATATACTAAATTTTCATCAAATGAGTATTCAGATGAAAAATATGAATATATTGATGATGAAGAAGATATTTATGTTATAAATACAAGATCACAAACCTTAAAAGAGAAGCAACATAAAAATTATATAGAAATAAATGAAAATATGATAAACAACAATGAAAAAGAAAATAGTTTAAAAAATGATGAAACGGAAAAATATGTCACACATTTAAGGAACCATTTTCATATTTACTTTAACGATTTTTTTTTTTTAAGTAAGGAGAATTTTGAAGAAGGGATAAAAGAAAAAAAAGAATTATATGAACTGAATTATAATAAATTTTTTATTGAAATTTGGCAAGGAGAAACTAAGAATTATAATTTTTTTATTGAAAAAGATTTCAAAATTAATAAATTTTTAAAAATAGCAGAGCAAAACAATATGTTATTTGATAAAAAAAATATAGAAGACTATAACTTTGTAGATGATATGTTAATAATTCAGAAAAAAGAAGATACAAAAAAAGAAATATATAAAAATTTAAAGCAAGTATTAATAATGTCATTAAAAGGGTATATATATGATGGTTCTTATTGTATTTTAAAAAATTGTAAAGAAGGATTAGGAAAATTTATTTATAACAAATATGGCATAACATTCGAAGGAGAATGGGAAAATGATCAAATAAATGGTTCAGGGCATTTATACACTAATAATTTTAAATACTTTGGAAAATTTGAAAATAATTTATTTAATGGAAATGGAATATTTGTTGATAATTTATTAAATCAATATGAAGGGGAATTTTTAAATGGGTATTTTAACGGAAATGGAAAACTTATATTTAATGGAAATACATACATTGGCATTTTTGAAAATAATAATTTAGTTGGTAAAGGAAAAATTTTATATAAAAATGGTTCCATTTACACAGGAGAAATAAAAAATTTTATGCCCCATGGTTATGGCTTTTTATCTTATAATAAGTCAACTGTATTTGAAGGGTTTTTTATTGGAGGGAAAAAAAATGGAAACGGTTTTTTAACAATTAATTATAATTCCACACCAAATAATGTATTCTGTATTGAAGGAAAATGGAAGAATGATGAACCTGTAATAAGAAAAAATTTTAATATCATATTTCCAAATAAAGATAAGTATATAGGAAAAATATATATATTATCAAATTTGAAAAATATTAATAAAGATAATGATACGCGGGATGATACTATAGTTAAAGATATAAACGAAAAATTATTTGATGTAAAAGAATTGATTGAAAATAAAATTACCTATATTAATCAAGATAATAATAAGATTGTTAATAACAAGAATGATATATTAAAAGAAAAAAATGTTATTAATGATACTTCAAACATTCACTATAATAATACAATTCCTACATTAAAAAGTAACAATAGTTTAGAAAACGAAAATATAAAAAAAAAAAATATGCCTTTAAATGATAACCAAAAAAAACAATTAATGGAACATGATTGTGATAATAACAGTAATTCTGAAAATATAAATTCTTTTAAAAATAGAACTCTAATGGAAAAACTTGAGATTTTTGTTAATAACAAAGAGAGAAAATTATTGAGAAAATCCTTTGAAATATTAGATAAAAATTGGATATATAGTACAGAAAAAAAATTAAGAAAAAATAAAGATGTTGTTGAATATTTACAACAAAAAAAGTTATTTATTATTCCCCACAGTAAAGGATTAAGTATATATAATAGAAAAAAAGAAAATTATGATGGGAATTTTTGTTTAGGTATGAAACATGGATATGGTATATCAATGTTTGATGACATAAACAGATATGAAGGATACTGGTTTAGAGGAATGAAACATGGTTATGGTATATTGTATGAAGGAGATAATATATATTATGCTCACTTTAATTATGATAAATTAATTAAAAAGGAAGAAATTTTACCAGAACAAATAAATAATTATAAACCTAAAAAAGATCCAAATATAAAAACATACAATAATTTTTTAATAAATCAATCTTTTTTTGATTACAAAAACTTTATATCCACTTTTTTATTCAATTATCTTTAAAATTAAAATAAAATTAAATTTAATTAAATAAGTATGTAGTAATTATAATTATTACATTAATAATCATAACAGTTATAGTAAAAATAATGATATTCATAGTAATAATAATAATTTAAAAAAAATAAAAAAAAAAAAATGTTTTTTTTTTATTACTAACTTCTTAATTTTTTTTAAAAAATATATTTTTTTTTTTTTTTTTGTATGTTTGTTATAATGAACTTAAAATATATATTCCATATAAAAATAAACAAATTTTAAAAGAAATAAGAAAATAATAAAACAAATAAAAGATAAAAAAAAATAAAAGAGGAAATCCTACATAAAAATAATAAATGCTTGTTTTGTTTTTCTTTTTCTTTTATATTATTTCAAAGAATAATATAAAAATATACATATATATATGTAATTATTATTCTGAAATATATATTATGAATACATACACTCTTTTTCCATATTATTTTTAGATATGATCATATCTTTTCAAAGATGGAATTGTGTAAAAATAAAAATGAAAAGTATATTTACATAAATTATAAATTTTTTTAAAAAATTTTAGCATATATTCAAAAAAAAAAAAAATTTTATTAACCTATAAAATTTTTCATAAATTTTCCATAAATTTATTGATGCTTATAAAAATTCTTTCAATATTTCCATAAATTTATCATTACGTAATGAATAATACTGATCTAATGTTTTATCAAAATGCTTATATATTTCTTTAGTTCTATAACTAGGTATTTTTGAATTTATAAACTCCACAACATGTGTGTAGCATAAATGATGATGTATGAAATTTATAAATGAAAAAATTAATTTGTATAACCTTTTTTTACTCTGATAAATTGAATTATTTTTTTTCCATTCAAGAAGAGACTGGAAAGCAACATAATTTAAAACACCTATATCTACATCTTTTGTGTTTATATCCATTTGAAAAAATGGGGGATTCTTTAATAAATAAATATATATTAATAACCACATATTAAATACAATATATGGGCTTAAAAAAAATATAAAAAAATAAAAATATCCAAATACATAGCAAACCATTCCATAGAATACTAAGAAAAAGGAAAATACCAATGTATAAATGTCAAAATATATAGGACCTTTTAAAATTTTTAGAAAATCCTCATTTAATGATGCAAGCAATGATTTTTTTGTTTTTTCTGAGCTATATGGCAATAAAATAAAGGAGGAGATAATACTACCAAAAAAATTGTTAAAAAATGGTTTCTTAAAAAGTAACTCCCTTTTACACTCATATACTAATGAATAGAGACTTGCAAACATAGTTCCCATAGGTAGAGTATATAAAATGATATGAAAAAAAATGAAAAGGGAAATAGAACATACACTATTTCCTTCTAAAGTGAATTTTTCTGAAAATTTAGAAAACATAGTGCCGTTTCCATATTTATTATAACAATACCATAAGTGAATTAGCAATATTGTAATCATAATTATAATATCTCTTAAAAAGTATAAAATATACATACATGTTGAAATGCTTATATAATCATTGCACAATGCTTTAAAAGAATTCATTAACTCCGTTATATAACTAGTGTCTTCTTTTTTCATTATTTCATTTTTAATATTTTCACTTAATAATTTGTTTCTCTTTTCTAATTTCAAAGTTTCTCTTAATCTAACTTCTTTACATATATTTTGTGCAGACTTTAAATCCCATACTAATCCTAAATAATAAAAAAAATTTATCAAATATTTCGTAGGATTCACACTAATGATGTAAAAGTTTTCATTCATAGCATAGCAGTAAGGAAAAACATGATGATAATTATGAGATCCTTCTCCTAATGCTACAAGAGAAGTAAAAATATTATTAGACGGTTTTATATCAATATTATATGGCCTATATCCAAATGAATGAGAGGCACTATTAATTGACCAAGTAGCATGTAAAGTAATTACCCATCGAAGAGCTCCTAAAATAAAAAATCCATCCCAAAAACTATTATACATATAATAGGAATATATACCAGGTACAATAAAACAAAAGAATAAATTAAAATAAGGATCCAATTTATATTGTAATCGAAGTAAAGGATTTTGTAATAAATCATCAACATAAATTTCTTTTTCTTTCTCTTTCACATATTTTGTTTTCTGATATAATAACCAACCAACATGACTATAAAAAAAACCATACTTTATATTGTGAGGATCATATTTTGTATCACTATATTTATGATGTAAACGATGATTTCTTGACCACACTATTACACTACCTTGATTTGCAAAACTATTTAAAATCAAAAAGAAAAACTGTAAAATTGGACTAGCCTTAAAGGCTCTATGAGACCATAATCTGTGTGCTCCAAATGTTATTCCAAAACCATTTATTAAATAAAACACTATGCACTATAAAAAAAAAAAAAAAATAATGATAATGATAATAAATAAAGAAAAGTGATATAATATTAAATATAATAACAATATAAATAAATGGATAAGGTAAAAAGATATATAACCTGAATTAATAGAGATTTTGCGTGCTTGTGATAATATATTTTAATGATACCAATTATAGCAAATATATGAAAAAATAAAATAAATGTAAATAAAGAAGATCTAAATTGTTTATGATACAAATATAAATAATTAGCAAAAAGAATGTGAGCATAGTATACATGAAAGACAATAGAAAATGTAGCAAAATTTTGTATTAAACTGGAATTATTAGATGTATAGGAAATTTTTGTAAAAAATAAACTTATACATATCATATAGGCAATATCAAATATATGTGTTATTCTTTTTAATAATTTTATATTAGAATTATTTTTTAAAAAATTAGAAGCAAAAGATATCAAACATTTAATTAACTGTAAAGTTAAATATACTTTTATAATCATCAAATTCTGAATAAATTTCCACAAATAATAAAAGAAGAATACAAAAAATGTTTGCATGAAAAAAATATATATCCAAAAAGTGTTCTTTTTTTGTCTCTCTCTTCTTTTCTTGGAATTTAAATTATTTTTTGCTTTCATATATTCTTCCTCCTCTTTTTCTTTTTTTTCTATTTCATCTATAATTTCTTTTTCTTTTAATATGTCTTCATTTTTTTTTAAACTCTTCTTATTATTTAAAATTTTTTTCGCAATCTTTTCTAAATGCTTTGATGTATCTCCTATTAATTCATGTTCATATTCATTTTCATTTTCATTGCTGACTTCATACTTGTTAACTATTTTACTTTCTTCATCTGATTTACTATTGCTTTTTTTATTATGAGCACTAATTGCTTCTAAAAAATTACATAATTGTAAAATATTGTAAAGGTGAAATAAATTAATACCTAATTTTATATTTAAGTCTAAATATTTCAAACTTACTAAAGCATTTACAATAACCAATACACATTTTAAAATTTTTATTAAATTAATTAACTGCTCAGAAAAATATCTTCTTAATAAATAACATGAAAACAAGACAATAACAACTGACAAGTATATAATTCCTATATCTTCTATTTCCATGTAATTTTTGCTAAGTATACGCCATATACATTCCATTTCATTATAATTTATTAAGATATTTTTCACTATATAACCCATTAAAATCTTTTAAAACTTTTTTATTTTAATATTTGTAATATTTTAAAAATACTATATATATATATAAATAAACAATTTAATTAAAAAAAAAAAAAAATCATTAAAAAATTTTTTTAATACATGCAAATTATGCAAAGTTAAATTTAATGTTTTAATATTTAAAAAAAATTATATAACATTAAGTCCACAAAAAAAAAACTTCATTATAACGAATATCTCTTTTTTTTTAATTATAAATAATTTTTATAGTAGATATTTTTATTGTAAATATTCCATTTGATTCATTTTATTTTATTTTTTTTTTTACTGAAGATTAATTAAAAATTTTGCATGAAGGATTATTTTTTTTGAAATTATGTGTAATTCTATTTTTTTTTTCTCTCATTTTCCAAAAAAAAATATAAAAATACTTTTTTTTTTTTTTTTTTTTTTTGGTGCTTTTTTAAATTAAATAAATTACTTTTTTATAAAAATAGATAACAGGATATTTTACGTAAACATGTAAACTTTTAAGTGTTTACTTATTATTTTATCGTTACACATTATTTTATTTTTATTTCTTTTTACTTGTTTAATTTTTTCTGATTTTTTTTTATATTTCATTTTAGTACATTTATTTTATTTCACTTATTTTTTTTTTTTTTCTAAATATTTTTAGCATTTTTAATATATATATATTTTTTTTATCTTTATATTTTAATTTATTTAAAATCCTTTTTGTAATGTTTTTTTTTTTTTTTGATAATAGAATATATATATAATGCAAATAAGTTAATATACTTTTTAATTATAGTACTATTCCTCATGTTAATTGTTTTACTTTTAACTAGTAATGTTTATTTTAGAAATAATTAGAAAAACAAGGATATGTATTAAGTTCTTATAAAAATTTTATATTTAACTTTAAATTAAGATTATAATCCAAAAATATATACATATTATACCTATAAAATATATATTATCTTAAAATATATGCATCTACAAAGTCATAAATATATTAACAAAATAGAAAAATAACTGTAAAGGTTTAATAA